CGTTTTATTGTAGCCTGCCATAAAATTCACCTTTTGAATTAATACAGTGCAAAACATATCCCATTGATCTGAGACTGAAGATAGCGTGCGAAACGCGTAATCGTGTTCAGTAACTAGTGTGGTGATAACCCTGGTGTAAGTGACCCACGGCGAGATATTTATGTCCTGAAAATCTGACGCTTACGTAGAATGTATACGAGTGCTGTCGTGCTATCTTATCATGATCTTTGTCTCAACACGACGCGACACACGATCGGACCTAAAACTCCCTTCAAAGGACGAAACCACTTACTCAGTATTGGCATTACTGCCACTGTCATGCCATCTCCGAAAATAATATCACGGTCTTCATCAACAGAAACCAAAAGCTGGTAACTTGATGCATGCAGTCAGAAAATGTCTGCCTTACTATCGTTGTGCCCTTTGGTGAGAATTCTCTCCTGTTCGTTGGTCAGTTCTAATCCTTGCAACCTCCCTGCTCCTAGATTCCACCCGGTATACTCAACCCGCCTCTTCTGGAACGCTTCTCGCTGCTCCGACGATCCACCTTACTGCTTCGGAGACGCACCATGCCACTCCAGCGGAACCGAGCCAGAGCAGTGCGGCAGCTGACGAGTGGTACAAGGGAGCCAAACTGAACGTTCAGTGGTTGTTGAACGCCTTCGACTGCCTTCTCCAAGAGAACTGGCAGATAAGCGGCAGGAAGCGAGCTGTGCTGGTGTGCATCATCTGCGCAGAGCACGAGGTGGAGGCAGCCAAGGCTTCGGTAAACGGGCGCGTTTGCACAGCCAGCGGCGTCAGAGCGGACTGCAAAGAGAAGCTGATGGGCGTGGCGGATCATATGCACGGAAAATTTCATGCCGTTACTGTGGATGCGAAAAACCTGGAGCAGTAGTGGATTAGCCGAAGCTCGAAACACCCGTGGATGTCCATCCTCAAGAGAACTGCCGCTGGTGTCATCAAGACAACCACCATCACGACCAAGAAGACACTTCTGGAGCTCGCCGTTGCTGTTCACTACGATAGCCTGCACGAGACTGGCCGCTTGGTCGTGGCCAGCCCGCTCCCTCGCAGCGCTGCACGAGCAGCGAGTCTGGACAGCTATAAGCGAGGGTGGTTGGGAAATGGACCTGCAGCCAACAGAGCCACCTCCTGCAGCTCTTCACTACAGAGATCCGGACATGTACCGGGAGATGCGCAGCGTCGTCGCCAAGCTACAACGGGCCAAGATCTGCGACAAGCTTGCCGCTGGAGTTGTGTACAGCCTACAGGTCGACGAAAGTATGAACCGTCCGCAGCAAGACAACAAATTCGTCACTGCCAGGTCCATGCTGACGCTGAGCTGCAGACCTACATTCTAAGCGTTGTGGAACCGGAAGAAGATGCCACAAAAGGTCTACTAGAGGCGGTTAAAACTGCTGTTGTAGGGCTGGATCTGCCTCTCGACAAGCTGTTTGGTTTGACCACGGACGGAGAGAGCGCCAACACGGGTCGCAGCAGTGGTCTCAGGAAAAGGCCCAATGACCTGCTGGGATGTCACCTGATCACCATCTGGTGCGTGTGTCACAGGGGTGACCCAGCTCTCGAGAGTGTAGAGAAGACGGTATCGGAGATCATGCACTGGAAGACGGACCTGTGTGCTCTAATAGCGCACTTCCAAACATCGAAGTCCAGGAACAAAAAGCTCTGCAGGAGCAGCGAGAATGCGGTCACTTTTCCCGTTAACATCCGAAAAATTCCAAAGCGCGGACCTGGTGTGCACTACCAGATGTGCTGAAGGCCCGCCATGCTGCGCTGCTGCAGCTGGAGTTAATGAAAGAGGAGCCACTGCCTGGTGGCCAGGAGGAAAAGTTCGTCCCAGCTGCAGACGGACCAGCCGTCAGAGCGCACAACAGCCTCGTTTTGACGAAGAGAACACTTGAAGCCGTGTGGAATGAGATCGTTCAGGCCGCGACGAACTTGCTGAACGACAGGATCGATGTCGAGCAGGAACAAGTTGTGCACGACATGGTGGTCTCTATGATGGAGTCCAGGTCAGCGAAACAGTTCATCGTTGACGGTCGCAGCTTGGCATCCCGACTGTTCGGCAGAGAGGGCGTGGCCCAGTTCACAAGAAACGCCTGTGACCAGTGGCGCAAGATGAGCGACGCCAGAGACCGGCATCCTGGCATGAAAGGAAAGCTGGTGGCGATGACGAAAAACGCTAAAAGCGCATGCAAGCAACTCTTGTCGTCGCATCTCTGCGTCACTCCGCACAGCATGGGCACCGAGCGTGCTGCGTCGCACTACAGCACTGTGTGCAGCAGCCATCGCCTGGGCATGCGTCTGTCAACGGTGAACGACCGACTTGTCATCAGTGTCAGCGGCTTGGGCACCGCGAGGTTTGACCCGCGTCCGGCGGTCGCGGCCTTCCTAACAAACAAAGACAAGCGCAACCGTCAGCCGGACCCGGAGAAGTACAAGCAGCGTGAATTTGCCAAGAAGTTCTTCCGCCCCGAGGGATTGCTGTTAAGTGTACTGGGTCACGTTGGGAGCATGCGTGTCAGCGAACTGTGACGTCATGGCGAAGCTGTTGGGTGGCCGAGGCCGAGCGAAGCTGACCATGGCCGAGGTTGTAAAACAGCTGGAAATACTGAAACCTGATACACGACATCCATCTCCACCCCAGGAGCTTCGGAGCCTCAGTAAGATGGTATAGTCGCCCGATTTCCCAAGTTTGCATGCATCCATTACCATGCATTTACGTCAAGACGTGATGCCGCATTGCTGAAAATGAGTTAAGTGAGATGCATCGTGGGGGCTTTCATCGTATTCAGATCGATTACTACGTACCAAAAACTTATCAACGGTTTCTCCAGTGTTCGCGGAAGAATTAGAACAAAGGTACGTCGTAGAGATAACTGAAACTCAGCAAACATGTCTCGTTTGTGTTCAGCTGACAGTTTCGGGTAAAATAACATGCAATGAGATAGCTTCGAGTTTGTTTCACTTTGATTTGATTTGATTTGATGATCATTGATTTGGACGATACTTCTAGGGGCGGAATATCCTGTGATGCTTTTGGCGGGGCCTGAGGCCCACCAACATTTTTGGAGAAGCTTCACCCATGGTTGTTGTATTGATTTTCCTGTCGGTGCTATCTTAAAAGTTCAGCAAAATCGGCTGAGAGGTTTGCTTAATGAGGGATGGGGGCCATGATAATTTTTTGGATTGTCCCCCCCCCCCACACCCCCAGTGACAATTCCTTATCCGAGGCCCTGCCTCATATAATATGGAAAACCCCGAGACCAACAAAGACGGCACCTGACCAATCAAAACTGCCGTGGCAGGCCAAGAAAGAGGCTCCAATGAACAGTGGAGGGTCCTCATAACAAGCGAGAAAAACCTAACGCCGATATGGTGGGACCCATGAACGAACGGGAGCACCCCGGCAAGCTAACATATAGGGTCCGGGCGGAGAACAGGATCCCTTGAACAACAGGCACTAGCCGAAGATCAGTGTGCATGAATTAACACCCGGGCCCCTGAGCATCGAGTGCCTCGGAGCGTTTCCTTATATGGGGCCCAGCGACAGCACAGGGTCCTCCAAGCAAGTGGAAAGAACCCCATATCAATATGAAGGGCCCCTGAGCAACCGAGCGTACCCTCGCAATTGAGGCCCAGGCAGCAGCGGCAGGGCGGGGGAGCCCGCTTATCCCGCGGGCGCAGCGGTCCCCGCGGAGCCCGCGCCGTACACCATATCTCCGGCCGCGCCGGCGCCCGGCGCATCTGTGCCCAGTCCGCCGGTAAGCCCCGGGGCGCAGCCGCACCGAGGCCGGACACGGCCGCTAGGCGTCTGGGTAATTGATAGTAACCATGCTTGACTGAACGCATCACGTGATCATCAGTGGAATATTAGGTTGACTGTGCCATCTGTTGACATGAGAGGGAAATAGTGGCCGGACTCAAAGATGCTTCTGTAGTGTTATCTAGCGGCAGAGATCCAAATTAGCCTGGTTGCCATGGATCTGGACATTTCGTCCCTACACCTTATAAGGGCCCCCAATGGCCACGGCATTGGACGTTTGCTGGATGTTATGACACTGGATGGTGCGATCCTGGACGATATGAACACTGGATGCTACGATCCTGGACTTTTTGATGGCTCCCCGTAAGTAAGGGTAAGTAAGGGAATATGTTTTTCTCTCGTTTCTTTGACGTCATTCCAGATCATGTATTGGTGGTTGCTGGATCTCCAGTTCTACTTTGAGGTAGATCTTGGTTCTCGCATATACTTTAGCTTTGGTTCTGATCCTTGCAGAGTGCCTCGGCGTAATGCCAGGCTGCATTTTGGTTAATGTTTGATACCTCGGGGTGTTCCAGATTGAATCCTGATTTTTAATGGTTCTCTTAGCCCAGCATAGGCTTGATCCTGGTTCTTACTGCATTTTTCGATTTCTTATCAGGCTGGATTTTGGTTCAAGCTACTGCTTTCAGATTAATCACAGACTGGTCCTTTGAATCTTCCTGGTTCTGACACCAGAAACCGCCAATTCCAGATGGAAGTCTTCAGAACCGAGTACATGCTTACCAATGGCCCACATGATATTTTTCTGACTTTAGATCGGTCTTGGCAACGTCTTGCGCCGACCCTTCCTTATAAAAGTCTTCAAAAAACTCCAAAGCAGACTTTTTATATGTCAATAAAATAGTGTCACTGAACCGGCGTCAATATTTGTTATCCGCTACCATGGGGGATAGCGGTATGCGTGCAGTTAAATGCCTTTAATTCACAGCACCAGATTTTTGGCGTTAAAACCAAATATTAGCGCCTCTGCTGTGTTCTATGGGACTTTGGGACAACAGAGAAGGGAGGGTACAAACACCCAGTATCCGATAAGGCGCACAAAACATTACACCAGGAGCAACTTTGCAGGCTCCATCCAGCACGCTAAAACTTGGTAGGCGAGTAAAACTCCTGCTTTCATAATGGATGCCACCACAGATCGCAAAACCAATTGAACAAATCAATGCAATATTGTATATTACTAAATACTTTGCTACAGCTTTACAGCCAACACAGCTTTGTTCACTATTTGTATGAACGTTGAAATGCATTGAACCGAGGCATTTCTGATAATATCGTCATCGAGCTGCGAGCCAGAGCTGCTGCCCACGAATGAGCTACATCATCGCCGTGCCGTGCTGTCCCCACATCCGGCAGTGATCTTCAGAGTAGACAAGGGCCTCTCGTCCCCTGGCTCCCCGCCGCGTGGTGCTCCCTGACGTCTCCCCGTCGGAGACGTCGCTGGCCGGGGTCACGCCGCCAGATCATGCCGGTCCCGCTGGAGCCACCAGTACTGGTGCGGTCGGTCGTCACAGACGAGCAGGGCGACCTCCGGGCCGGCGCCGCGCGTCAGGCACCGGCCCGACTCGACGTGTACCAGGCCCGAGCCCTGCCGGCACGGCGATGGGTTAGCTAAAGCACGGCGGCCGTCAGCGGCGGGCACATGGCGACGGAACCTGCTCTGACCCCCAGCGGCTTCCGGGCCTCCCCCTGACCTCCACCGGCTCCCGGAGCCTTCCATAGCACTCACTGAATTGCAGGGGTTCCCACTACACTCACTGACTCCCGGGCCTCCCTACACATTCACTGACTTCCGGGCCTCCCTACACATGCACTGACTTCCGGGCCTCCTTACAAATTCGCTGACTCCCGGGCCTCCCTACACATTCACTGACTTCCGGGCCTCCCTACACATTCACTGACTCCCGGGCGCCGCATGGCTCGCGCCGGCTTCCGAAGTTTCTGTCTGCGTCAAGCTCGCGTTGGTTATGAGTTATCCGTGTTAGCACTTAGTTAAAACCTGGCAACTATCGTGCAATCGTGCAAAGGCTCCGAGGCTTTGCATTAAAAGACTCCTTGTGAACAACAGAGTGGAATTGCATGACAAACATAAAACACCGAGCCAACATCATTCACAGTAAATATGGCAGCAGACCACTATGTGACCAGTTTCATCACATATCTATATTTTCGCCTGTGAGGTTGAGACGGTGCGACGCGGTGTGACAGGTGCACATACCTGAGTGAAGGCCCAGGCGTGCTGCTGGCCGTGACAGGGTACCAAGCGGAGCCCGCTGTCCACGCACAGGCCGTCGACGGCGCGCAGCAGGCCCTCCGCACTCAGATGGAAGCTCTGTGGTCAGACAGGGCGGAGTCAGACGTCGGCTAGTCACGGGCAGACGTCAGGCAGTCAGGGTCACATATCAGCTGGGCGATGTCAGACGGCCAAGGCCAGACGTCAGATAGGCGGGGGCAGATGCCATATGGGCAGATGTCCGACGCAGGGGCGGGCGTGCCAAGGACAACCGTCAAGAAGCCAGGGGTTTGGCGGCGTGAGACACACGGAGACAGTCACTGCGTCATCTGGCTCGACCTGCACAGGCTTGCTTCATTTAACGCGTCTCTTGCTGCACTTAACACTTAATTGGAACGTTTCACAAACATCGTTATGATTAAAGCTAACGATGTATAGAATTGTTGTACGCCTGAAACGGAGTCATCCAAACTATTGCACGTGATTCCAGAACGAGCCTGAGCCTCACACCATCAGCTCGGCGGAGCGGCTTAGTTTGTCAGGCGAAACCAAATTCTTATGAAGACCGGTGGGGGTTGTGTATTCCCCATAGCCAACATCACCTGATCATCATCGGACGTTCCGACATTTCTGCGACATGGTGCCAGTTCGAGGGCCCGGTGCAGCGGCTCGCCGCGCTTGGCGCTCCTTTGGAGGCAGACCTCCTGTCCCGCGTCTCGGTTGAATAGCTGGCGAACAGGGTAACACAGTTGGCGAACAGTTAACAGTACGTCGCTCATACTTTGATGACAGACAGGGGGCTGAGGAAACAAAACTGGACACGTTTCGGCCAGACCTTCCTTGCCGAAAAGAGAATGGAGTAGAATAAGGCGAACACTGTTGGAATGGGTAGATTGCGAAATTGTGTATGCGCGAAATGTGGAAAACGAACAAGACATCTTTGCCCAATCTCGTGCTCAATATCCTCGGTTGTAGATCTGCCCATAAATGATTAAATACCGTTTATCGCACAAGCCAGCAATTGGTTGAATCATTCCGGGGCATCTGCAAGGTGGGATTTTCCTTTTCCAAGTGTAGCGTAATAAACTATTACAACAATATGCTTAATTAAGCCCCTAGTCAAGTTTATCAGAATCCTATGGCATTGGTGTATGTCACGCGGAGATGGGACGGCTCAGCGCAAGAGGCTTCCGCAAAGCACGAACAAATTGCCAGGGTCAAGTCTTGCTAAGATTATGTCTACGTTATCACACACGTGATGTGGCGTCATAACTAAGTCTTGCACATCTGTAAACAACCGTCCCAATAGTGAAAAACAGGTCTGAATATAAGTATATGGCCTGATTTGATCCGATACATTCCGGGAGGAAGATGCCCCCATATCATGCAGATGTTGTGGCCTCTTTCGACACAGCGGCAACAAACAAACCGGCCTGCCGCTATACCAACGGCTAGCCCACGCATCATTGGCACATGCAGTACACAACCTAAACTCCCGACAAGCGGCAATAGTTTGGAAGACCCGGCTTCGCGCGATCGTCCTCCCGTGGCCGGCGCTGCCCGCCACCCCCGACGGCCGGAGCCAGAGGGGTGGAACCACTCCTGACATAGGGCAGGCGCTCCCCCCCCCCTCCCCACGCCGGAGTTTTAGAGGGCGGACGGCAGCCACGACACCGAGCCGGCGTGCCCGCCACCCCTGACGGCCGGAGCCGGAGGACCATCCGCCTGACACTGGGCCGGCCTGCTGCACGCACCCCCGGACGGCCGGAGCCAGAGAGGCGGCAGCCGCCTGACACCGGGCCGGCGTGTGCGCCACCCCGGACGGCCGAAGCCGAGGGGGCAGCCGCCTGACAACGGGCCGGCGCTGCCGCCACCACGGACGGCGGAGCCGGAGGGCGGCAGCCACCTGACACCGGGCCGGCGCTGCCCGCCACCCCCGGACGGCCGGAGCCGGAGGGCGGCAGCCGCCTGACACCGGGCCGGCGCTGCCCGCCACCCCCGGACGGCCGGAGCCAGAGGGCGGCAGCCACCTGACACCGGGCCGGCGCTGCCCGCCACCCCCGGACGGCCGGAGCCAGAGGGCGGCAGCCGCCTGACACCGGGCCGGCGCCTCCTGCCGCGTCGACACCGGCAGCGGGTCCGGGCCCGCCGTCGCTGCCGTCCGTACCTTGGTCCGGTGAGCCGCAGGGGAACAGGCCGCGGCACCGCAAGGCGACTGCAGCAGCCGTGCCAGGTCAGCAGGCTCGTCAGGGGTCGGGCTGGAGACTCACCCTTCGGTATGACTTTCAAAGAGCGGGCTGGAGGCTTACTCGTCGGTACGACTCCCGGAGCGCAGGCTGGAGACTCACCCGTCGGTACGACTCTTTTCTGGAGAAGTTGCCACGAATGACGGTGAACACCAGCAAGCCCAGTAGGCAGACCAAGGCCACAGGGAGCAGCACGAGCGGCCGGACGCTCACGACTCGGAAAGGTCTCATCACTGTCACATGGCTGACCTGAAATGCCCCATCACGGTCAAATGTATGACCTGAAGGGCCCTTCGTGCTCACATGGCTGACCTCCTGGAGGGCCCATCATGGCCACATGGCTGTCCTTCTGAAAGGCCTCATCATGGGCACATGGCTTTCCTTCTGGAAGGCCCCATCATGGTCACATGGCTGACCTGGAAGGCTCCTTCATGGTCATATGGCTGACCTGGAAAGAGTCGTGCTCTGCCGTCACGTGCACGGTCCGGCTTTCCAGGAATGTCTATCCAAAACACGCTGAGATCTGGGCTGACGGCCACACATTCGGTTTGACGTGGATGAAATATGTCGAGCTCTCTGACACCGAGTGTGCTGGTTTGCATAGCTTGCCGTCTGCAACGCCCTGACACCTGATGACACGCGCGCATCCCACTTCACGCAGCAGCGTGTCCATCTGAAATACGCCAAATGTATGCCGAAACCGAACAGTGTGGTTCACAGGGTTGTTCGTCTAGATCATGCCTACCTAAGGAGACACGTGAGAAATCTTGTCCACATGGTTTTGTGCCCTAAATTTGTTGGCAAAGTAAGCATCCGACGAGTCTGGCTTGCGCGGCTGCCGTCCTGAGACGACCGATATCTACAGCCTCATCATGACTCCGGCTCACGTGGCTGCTCATTCAAGACGTGCTGATCAGTACGCAAGACACCCGAAGAGTCTGTTCACATGAATGCACTCCTAAAGCGTATCGATCTTGCAAGCACACGAAAAGTCTAGCTCAAATAGCTGTCTGCTGGAAACACCGTGCAGCAGTCCCGCTAAGCCAAGGTCAGACCTGCCTTGCCTGCCTGTTGCCTTAATGATTACGGTTGCGCTCCCTCTGACTTGACGATTGACTCGTACACTGCACGGTTCGTTGTCCGTTGTTGTTTGGGCACTGTCAGGTTATGTCCGACAGGCGGCGCCGCTGAGCCGTGCCGCTACATAAAATGGTCCGGTCACGGCATTGCACCCGCATTGTGGGCCCGATAAAGGAATGGGCGTTCCCGGCCACAATAGCGTGGTGTTTATTGATCCAAAACATGATGGAGTAGCACGAATGGAATGGCACATTCAGAAAACATGCCTTAGAATTTTGCCTCAAGGAAAAAGCGCTAACAGTTGTTGGCTGTATTATGCAAGATGTAAGCTCAGGAACAGGCCTGTCAGCGCCACTATCGTTCACTTTACCAGAGCGGCCAGGTCCCATAAACTAAGCCCACACCGCATCTGCGCGCATTGTTCCTGATGACGGCTTCATGTGACGCTCCAACCGGCCCCGCACCAACACTGTGTAACCTGCCATTAGCAACACCACACCAACCCGTGGCTGTCAAACCCGCCCACTGGCAACACCATACCAATACGTGTGACTCACCAGCCCTACTCACAGCGACCAACAGCACCGCCAAACGCGTCCCAGAGTCCTATGGGAACAGAAACAACTGAGACAGCGTCCATTGGCAAATGTTGCAACTCGTCTCCGCTCCGAGACCATAGTAGCAAAACGGGGGTCCAGATCTCTGAAGTTATGCGACAAGCAGTGGTAACCCCAGCACAATGTCGGTAAAACAAGATTTGAAAATCAACTCCGGCTTCACCTCGTCATACTGGCCTGCCTGCAGGACTCGCGAACGTACCTGCTAGAACTCATGCGGCGACCTTTGAACGGCCGACAGGTGGTCCGCTCCGCATCACGTCTCAGTCGCCTCACACAGGAGCGCTGTGCGCCGCTCGCTGTCGCCCTCAGCCGGCGCCGTCCCCCAACTGGCACTCATCTGCCACCCCGCCCCTTCCCCCGCCACGTCACAGGTGCGGCGGCCAAAGCCGGCCAGGCGCCGTGTGTACGATAGCGTGGCGGCGGGCCCGGCGGCGCTGCCACGCCGCCAGAGCGCCCTGCTCGCCGCGTCGCCAGAGAGCCCTGGTCGCCGACACCGCCGGTGCCTGACCTACGGCACGTTCGCAAGAGCAGGCGACAGCCAGACCTGAAGCCCTCCGGACCATCAGGCATGGCGGGATCTGAGGCCACGCATTCTGCCGACGCCCAAGGCCGTGTGGAACAGCCTGTAAGCAAGACGGACTGGGGACTTGTCGAGCGGCCCGTGCAGGTGTGTAGGTAGTTACACCCACGCAGGATGCTGGGAGAGCACGCGCCAGGACAGTGCGTTGTTTGCGACAACGTGAACTTCCCGCGAGGAGCTGGTGGTTGTCATTGTTACCTGGAGCATGACGCGTCAATTAAGCTTCATTTATTTCGGCCCGTTGACTTATGCGATAGACGTGTTAACTGACTTCTGCTGTATGGCGCGTGCAGGCTGCTGGCTGTAGTAAAGCTGCTTTTGGCGCTCGATAGGTGCTGAGGCCTACAGTGTATGGTAAGGTCCACGGTGTGTGTTCACTGGCAGCTGATGCCCCGGCTGGCACGCGTTCAAGCGCTTCAGAACGCAGCAAGGTCTATATTAAGCTCAAATCACTGGCGGGGTCGAGCGTCTCATGTTCACGCAGATGCTTAAACACCGAGGCGCTCGAGAAAAATGCTGGCACACTTACAAACCCCCTTTTTCGTGCTACGATTGCCCACGTGCACCGTTAGACATGGCGTACAAAATTGATTTGAGTTCATCAAGTGAAGAGTGTGCGAGTCATGAACGTCGTGGCCACCTGCCAACGAGATTCAAAATTGTCCGTTTTGGCTGATGAAAAACACATGCACACACAAACAAACACAAACGCGTTTTGACTGAACAAAAACAATGAGAAAAAACACCCCTTAATGTACTGTCGCAATAGTGAGCCCACCATTAGACGTGGCGCTGCTAATTTACTGGAGGAAAATAAATCTGAGGCATGCGGGTCACAAACGCAGTGCCTCACGGCTCAGTAAAGCTCAAAATTGCTCATCGATAGTTGCTAAGACGTTAAAATCATCTTTTCTTACTCCCATCACAGTACAAAGCACAGCAATTTACGCGCCGTGGTACTGGTAGGCCCTCTGGTTTTCTATGCGAGAGAGGTACATAAACAATTTCTCTGGCACAACGAGGGTGCAACTATATATGAACGAAGTAATAGCCTTACTCCTCAAAGAAAAAAAAACAGGAGAATAACGATATGGATGCGTTGATATTTCCGCAACATGCCTTTCTCGCAACGAATAGCAGAAGTGAACTCAAAATTTTTAATTTATTTTGAAATCATTTCTGCCATTCGTTTCGATGAAAACATGGCTGTCAAATATCAACGCATCTATACGTTCATTCTCCTGTTTTTCTCCGAGGAAAAAGGTTTTACTACCTTCTTGTGCATGTGCATAATGTTCCTCGCAAATGCACTTAAGAACTTAAGGAAGGGTTCAAATAAATGGAAAGTAATATTCTTTCCGAGCATGTACCCACTAGGTATGAAATATCTGGAACAAGCAGCAGAGTATTACGGATACTACTAACAACAGTGCTCTCCAGGAACGATATCCGAGGCTGAAATGTTGAGTGAGACCTTTTGATGTCCTTTCCGGCGAATGCAAAAATTCACCAGGGAGAACGGAAGCTAGCATTTTCCCTCACAGACAACTGAACTGAAGTCATTAACAATGGTACAGGTCTCGGAAATCGAAATTGTGCACGTGATGTGCAAACCGTGTTTAATCCAGAGCTCAAAAGATGGAAATCCGACATGTCAGGCAAAGTGGCAGCAGAGCATTTTACAATCCCGGAGGAGAGAATGATGAAAATATGTCACCTTCCCAAGGAGTCGAGCAGTTCTGCTAAAACAATTTTGAGCAGTCTTTCAACTAAACTGCAAGCTCCATGGTATAAAGTGCCGAATAGATGCGCACCAACAAGGAAGTTTGTATTTAACCAAAAGATCACACAGTTGCCACAATATTGTAAATGCGATCAGGTGGACAACATGCATCATTACTCATACAATTGTAATGAGACTGCGAGGTTTTGGAGGGAAGCCATGCGACGAGTCAATAGGGAAAAAGGCAACAGGCTACGCTCAGCAGCAAGATGGTCATGCTCGGTTGTAAAAGGGCATGGCAATTCGCAAATTATTTGATTCCTTGGCAAGGCAGAACGTTTTCAACAAGATCCTGAATGGGGAATCGTTATTGGTAGACGTTTTTTGGGGGCTCCCTAAAAGGCAGCACGAAATTGACGGATTAAACACTAAGCCAGGAGAGATTGCATGACATCACTACCTTAATTGACGTGTCTCCATTATCATATGAAAACGGTAAAGCTGTCACCCGTTAGAATATGAGCTCCTGCACCAGTATGCCAGCTTTTTGTAACCCTGTAACGGAAATAAGTCGCACAAAGATTGCAGAGTGCAGCAAATGTGTTCTGCATTGATATATTCGCTGTGCTTTGCCGGCGAACGGGGATTATGATGCACCGCTAGGTTAGCTCTACAAGCTTGCTCGCTGCTGAATGGCCTTGCCTGATGCGTGTCGTGCGTCCACAGAGTACAATGGCCCTGCCTGATGCGTGTCGTGCGTCCACAGAGTACAATGGCCCTGCCTGATGCGTGTCGTGCGTCCACAGAGTACAATGGCCCTGCCTGATGCGTGTCGTGCGTCCACAGAGTACATAGCTGCGTCGTTTCTATGCAAACATATGTTGTGGGCTGAACCTCGACCTTGAGCTTTTTTCGACGATGGAACAAACAGCGTATGCCAGTTTGTATGAATTAATTGTTTGGGTGAAGCCTCGTGCTGTCGAAATCCTATTGCTCAAAAGATTATCCGGCTTCGTTCGTCAATGTTTTGTGATCTGACCTCATGGGGTATGAATAAACATAGATCACATCTGAAAGAAGAAAAATATGGCTTGCTGCACATACCCTGAACACACCACTAAAGTTGTTCCGTCCAGTCCAAAGGATAATTTAGACTCTGCCCTTTCGCCAGAGAAGGCAGCGGAGGACTGCCGGAAAATGCCACGGCACGGCCACCCCGAGCCCGGGCTGACCCTCGTTGGCCAGTTGTCAACTGCTTTGTTCAGGTCAGTCTGGTCAAACAGCGCACCGGCTATGGGGCTCGTACCAGTGCCGCTGGATACGGGCCCAACCCCTGCCATGAAGACGGCTGCTTGAAACAGGAGCCGCGCATTCGATCATTAGCCACGGATCCGCCATGTTTTCGCAGGTTCCTCCGCCATCTCGGTCATCACCTCACTCATCCATGCCAAACAAGGCATCACACCTGCTTATGTATTTAGAAAATCAACGAAGTTGTTAGCAGTCCACAAGAGAGAACGCAAATCACATTTGTAACGCTTGCTTAAAATGTAGGTCCATGTGCACATTTACACGCCTCCGCTTATCCCGCGTCATTTTGACTCTTGCCGCTGTTGGAGATTTGATATACTGCAAACAAATGCTGGCCATACTGGTCCCAGTGACAGTGTCATATGAGGATGGCGATATGGCGGTCCAGACAGATCCCGTGACGTGGAAGCTTAACTGACAAGAAGCACAAGCCAAGCTCTAGAAAGCCGCCTCAGCTCATCTGTATGGTCATCTACGGCACCCTTCTGGTTAGATGCACAACATCGTACAGGGACACGTGCACATGGCCATATGAGGTTAAGGTTAGTCTACGCATATCAGTTGACATTCCGCAAACACTTGGTTAAACTATTTAAAGCAATGCAACGGACATGACAAACTAATTGCAACTGGTTCGCTTGAAGCAACCATTGTTAGGTGAGGCCCATAACCCGACGCTAAACCCGATTAGCCAAGATTGCTATCAAACTAGGATACATTTTGACATTTGGTGGCCACTCATGTCAGATTACCGATCAGACACATGAGGCAGATAAGCATCGTGATGGAGTAAACATGTCGCAATTGTTGCTGGCCAGTAAGAGCGACACGCGCTGTAAAATAAATCCCAGACACGCTGCAAAGTCATAAGCCTCTTACGCAGGCAACTCGATGGTGTCATTATGCAACTTCTCTCGGCAGCGCCTGCGCAGTGTGATTCCTTAAGATAAAAATCACCGAACTTCCATATGCCAGAGGTGCGAGAAGGCGGGCCTAATGATTGGAGCCTATTGACTGGAGGTGTAATCATCAGGCGATGTCCTAAGATCACCCGACATTATAAGGCAGTGCACTCTTAGATCATGATTTCTGGATCAAGACGTCTAACATTCTCAGCACATCAGGACCGCTCGGTATGCTTGTTTCATTAATGCCTTCTGGTGCATCGAAGGTCGGTTATTTTCAGCTGAGGAATTTAAAATGCCGGAAGACTAGCTGCTCAAGTGCCTTTCTCGCTTTTATCCAGCTTTTCCGTGGGCTTCTCCTCATTACTGGCCATGCTAGCCGGAATTCGTAAGGCTCTATGATACTCCTATTCGTTGAATAAAACCAGCACGTCTCAAACAAACTCATACAGAAGCGGAGCCATCTCCGTCAACACTGAATGGTCTGACCAGCGCGTTGGAGACGCGACACTCACGATGACCGTGAGAGAGCATGCCCTTGGAGACGCGACACTCACGATGACCGTGAGAGAGCATGCCCTTGGAGACGCGACACTCACGATGACCGTGAGAGAGCATGCCCTTGGTGGCCACTGAGGAGCCAAGGCCAGGCGCTACACAGGCCGGCACAACCGGCTCTATCGGCTCGGCCACTCGAGCCGCTCGGTGACCGCACCAAGGTCACTGAAACGCGCGCCTGACCGCCACCGCCGGAGCGTGAGGTCGACCCCACGCTCGGCACTGTGCAAGCGCCGGGCTCTGGCCGGCCATCTCTCTACAACACGCCGACAGAGTCGCGGCGCCACTTGGGCAGCCGGTCGGCCCCCGAGTCCTTGTCCATGGAGGCCTTCTTGACGAGCAGGGCGCGCGTCTTGTCCGTCACCTCGGCCGTGCGCAGCGTGATGCCGAAGATGTCCTCGTGGAAGCGGCCCAGCTCCTGCGGAGGCACGCGTCGGCTCGGGTCAGAGATGTGTCACTCGCTGCCTGATGGGGGCAGCGGCTCTAGGCAGTACGTGTGTTCAGCCAACACCGCGGAACCACTCACAGGGAGGTCACGAACGGCGCATGCCATGTCAGAGTCTACTGTGAAGCATGTTTGGCAAGTCTGTCCCAATGTTCCCAGAGGTGCTAAGCGTTGCCGGCCGCGCCGCGCTGCGGCGGCGGTGCACACCTGCATCTTCTCCATGTGCTGGCGCGCCTCCTCGGCGTTGAGGCCAGCCCTGCGCACTAAGATCTTCTGCAGCGTCAGGAACACGTCCTCGGCCATGGTACAGTCACCACAGACGTAGACGTGACCGTGACCTGAGGTCAGGCACTCGAGGATGTCGTCTGACTGTTCCATCAGCTGGTCCTGCACGTACGTCTGGCGGCGATGGAGGACGGGTCAGACACCTAGGCACACTGGCAGGAGTGGATGTCACTGGCCTCCCCAGTCACCAAAGGCTATCACGAGGCACAACATAGAGAAGAATAGGTAAATCAGATACCTTGAAAGCAGCAGTAACAGACACATGTGTTTAATAAATGTGGCGGGACTACCTAAAAAATCCCTTGCCACCATTTGCTTTTCTCAGCGTGTGGATATATGATTGGCAGCATGTATAGTAGATATGCGCCAACATGAGCGTGCTTGTAAGGCTGACCGCGGTCCTGGCAGGCTCAGAGCGCTTACCTTGGGCACCCCAGGCTCCCGAGACAGCGCCATGTGACACTTGGTCATCACCCCCTCCTTCATCATCGCCGCCTTCTCGGCACTGTACAGGTCCATCTTCTGGCTCCGGCACCCGAAGAACAGTGTCATGGTGCCGAATTTGGTACCGGCTGAGGAGGGAATGCACGTTCGTGGTCGTCATGTTTTATTTCCTTCGGGTTTGTCCGACTGAGGCAAGACCTGGCACAGAATACTCGCATATGATCCCCCGAAGCAGGTTCTGAAAGATCAGTTTTCGTGTGGCCAGACTGGTGGCCTGATGGTGACTGCCGCTTTGCCAATGGTGGCTCGCCGATTACTGCCTTAGTCCAATGGCTTCACCCATTGTGCATCGTAGAGCAAAGAGGGTGGAGTACCTGTGCGTTTCTGTTCTACCAGCATCCCTGTTTTAAGAGCCTCTATGTTCTAGCTCATTTTGACACGAAATGACCGGGACCTAATAGAAGGAACTAATAAGAGTGTTCTTGCCCTAGTGCATGCAAGATGACTGTCTCGGCGTAAAAGAGGCACCCCGGCGGGGCGGCTGTACTGTCTGCGCTGCCCAGACTGGTGGCCACGCCATCGCCAGCGGTCGGCCGAGCCGGCGCGCCGCTCACCTGCAGCGCGCTGTTTCTCGAACAGCCGGTGCTCCCAGAAGGAGCGGAACGGCGCCACGCCGGTGCCCGGCCCAATCATCACGATGGAGTCTGACTTGGTCTCAGGCAGGTGGAACGAGGGCGCGCTGGCGGAACAGACACCCGGCCAGTGAGGAAGGTGACCACAGCTGCGGTGCATGAGCTGCACCGCGTCACGAACGCCGTACGGACGGCTGCGTCCGCCACCGAGGCGTGGAGGATGCAGCTCTATCGTCTAATGGGCGAAGAAATGAGTGTAAAACACCCGGTAAGGGCCCAAAATGATTACCTGCATGTATACATGCAAAAGGGCAAATAAAGGCGCGTTCGCCTTAAAAAGGAAAGAGCCGCTTTCTGAGCGGAATTGCCTCAACTGCTCGTTTTCATACAAAGCTAGAGTCTTTGTCACGTATTGATCAGCGTGGCTGCACTGGTTCCTACTTTCTGAAGTAGCAGACGATTTTGTCGCCCTGCTTGATGTCGTTCAGGTAGTTGGAGCAGACGCCGTAGTGCAGGGGTCCGGTCCCACCTGGCCGAACATCCCCAGCGCGTTACCGTCTGCCCTCCGAGGGCATGTGACAGGCTGGCAGGCTTACGCACTGTTCATGCAAGGAACCTGAGTATGCCAAGCCTGTTTTTGTCATCGCTGCCGATGAGCCCTAGTTACAAAGAAAACACCGGCACAATAATTACGAGCCGTTTCGAAGCCCACAGTTCGCTTGCTCTAACATCCTCATTATTGGCTTAAAATGCTTATTCATAAGTGAAAATGGGATGTGTGCAACAGCATCACGCACACAAAATCTCTTTAATCCTTAATCTATTCTAGCTTCTCTCAAAAGGATTGCATAGCTCAATACTGCGTAACTTTCAAAGTTTTTTCGAGCTAAGGCAAGTTTGACACCAAGTTTCAAGGGGCGGATTAAGCAGGGGAGGGTAGCGGTCCCTGGCAGAGTCACTGCCCAAAATCGGACACATCACAACAGCAGCTGCCGGGCGCAACACCCTCCCGGCACTGCTCGTTCATCAGCTGACGGCCGCCGCCCCGCGCCATACCTCGAGTCCTGTACTGGACCACCGCCACAGTCAGCTGAACCTCGTCCTTCCGGTGGTCCGGCGACGATGAGATGCTGTACGCCCTGCGGGGACACAGCGCGGGTGAGCTGCCACGCCAGCCGGAGCGCGGGACCAGGCCGGACGCCCCGCCCCTCCCCGGAGAGCCCCGGCGGCCCTCACGCCATGCTCAGGCACGCACTGGAGGTGACCCGAGCGCGGGGGCCCGGCGCGTCTCAGAGGCGACGCCCGCCACAGTGCCCGACGCAGGCGGAAGACGAGCCTGGGACGCAGCGTCACTGCACAACGTCACGTGGCGGTGACTGTCACGTCATGGGGCGCGCCTCCGACCGCGGGCGTCAGCGGGAGGCGGGATGAGATGCTGTACGCCCTGGGGCGTACAGCATCTCATCGTGTGGGCGCGTACCTGGCCTGCATCAGCGGCAGGTTGCAGAGAATGAAGGGCGCATCGGCCGCGATGGACGGAAACTCGGCCAGCGTCTCGGCCAGGTTCGGCCAGTTGGCGTGCTTCCATGTCTCGTAGGCGGCCGCGTCCTGTGCGACACGGACATAACAACCGGTGTGATAATGTGGAACAGCGACCCTGGCCCTATCCGTTCCGTTGGAAAATTTTAAGCACATGTGTAGTCCAGACTGCGTGAGTGCGATTGACGCCTTTTAAGTATTTATCTTGGTATTGCTACCCATCCCGCTCTTACATCGGTCCCAAAAGCTACCTTGCAATAGAAGGCTCCCACCCACGGCAGTCAATACGAGTGCAAATATCAGCATGTGAGAGATGGAATGTGCGTTAGCGGATCGCCGCTTACATGACGCGATCATGGTTAAGGGATGACATGGGCCCAAAAACGAAACGATCAAACACGGACCCTGTCTCGTCTCTGATGAACAAATGTCATGCCAAATGGAAAAACAAGCGCGTTTCGATGTACGCTGCCTTCTTGCATTCAGTGCGCAAGCACATGCCAACACGCGACGGTGCACACGCGAGAAGCAGCGACAGATAAGATTTGCGAGCTATTGCCGGCAGAAGAAAAGGTAGCCATAAGACCGACCCGCTACCGTCTCCTGGCGATACGTCATAAGCGACGCTGCTTCAGCCGCACACTCCGCCAGTCCCGGCAGGCGTGGCCGCACGCTCCGCCAGTCCCGGCAGGCGTGGCCGCACGCTCCGCCAGCCTCGACAGGCGTGGCCGCACGCTCCGCCAGCCCCGGTAGGCGTGGCCGCACGCTCCGCCAGCCCCGGCAGGCGTGGCCGCACGCTCCGCTAGCCTCAGGAGGCGAGGCCGCACGCTCCGCCAGCCCCGGCAGGCGTGGCCGCACACTCCGCCAGCCTCGACAGGCGTGGCCGCACGCTCCGCCAGCCCCGGCAGGCGTGGCCGCACGCTCCGCCAGCCCCGGCAGGCGTGGCCGCACGCTCCGCTAGCCTCAGGAGGTGTGGCCGCACGCTCCGCTAGCCCCGGCAGGCGGGTTCGTGTGCCTCAACACTGACCGTGGCCAGCAGCTTGAGCTGGGCGCGCTCTTTGGTGTCGGTGGCCATGAGCGCCAGCATACGCAGCATGTTGGGCGTCGCCGGCGTGGTGATGTCCATGTACCAGGTCAGCATGTTCTCCACGGTGGTGCGCGGCAAACGCTGGTGCGACTCCCACCGCTTGTCCACGCCTGTGACACGTGACCGGGGTCAGGGTCAGGCCACAGGAGAGCGCCGAGGTGGTGCCGAAATATGGTTGAACGCTGTGTTCTATGGGCACGGCGCTCAGTTGGTTGTTTGGATTAGATCACTTTCGGCAAGTCATGACCAGTTTAGGGCTATGGGATGAAGGGCAATGAATAACGATGGAGCAAAGCAACACACATTTCCAGATCCAACTGTTGAATCTTTGCCCGCATAGGGACCCCTCTGCGAGATATGTGATTTGCACTCGGACGGGGGGCCCACCGAGGGGCGCTTCAGCCCACTCACGACTGCCGCAGCAGGCTCCGGACAAACAGGACGTCGCGAGCATGCAGGATAAAGGAAAGAGAAGAGCTAAAGGACGGGTGAAGGAATACTCTGCGACATAGGTGAGGCATACCGAAGAACAACATTGCTCAACGGAGTGGTGATTAAGTCATATGACCAGCCTGCTTGATTGTTTGAGCCCATGATGGATGTCATGAAGCATGGTTTTTCGCTCACCGAGAGGGGTGGTGACCTTTCGTATGATCTGGAGCTCCACGGGACCCTCGGGGCATCGGACAAGACGCTTCATGATGGCATCCACGATCTCGGCGCGGTTTTTCGGGTGCACCGCCAGGTGGTCACCAGGCACGAACTTAAGCTTGGTCGGATTCCCACCAGATGTCAGCGCCACGTTGATGGTGCTGCGGCTGCAGGTAACACCGATGGATCAAGATCGAGCAGACTGCGGAAATTGCAGCCAAGGCGATACAATTGAATGAATTTCGAATACGCATTCACAAGGTTGAACTGGCGCTGAGAATTCGCGAATGAAACCCACAGCAGACATTGCGGCAGCAGCACTGAAAAACCAACAGGAAGCATGCATTAGACACAATCCCGTTCCCGCTCCCTCTCGCCACCCTCGGTCTACGCCACCATTTGCCCGTACCCAGTGTCTTTCTCGTGCAGCGCCAGCACGTGTTTGGCCGTGCAGGAGATGACGGCCCGGCCGTGGCAGCGGGTCAGCCCTGGGATCAGGTCGTCGGCCAGCCGGGACTCGACCAGGCGCACAGCGTCAGGACTGGCCGCTTTGTCCGAGTTGAGCCGCTCGGTGGCGCGAGCCATCACCGAGTCGCTGTCCAGGCAGAATGCGTCGCACGAGGCCTGCAGGCAGTAAGCGATCAGAGACTCCGACCACTGACTCCTGCTACCGGCTCCGACCACCGACTCCGACCACCGACTCCGACCCGGAAATCAACAGATGGACGACTCCAAGGTTTCGCTCATCTTATGCACTGTGTGATATTCAGCCATTTTAATGCAATATGCTTTTTTGCATACCGTTAAACAGCGACACCTCTTCTCTGGGCTGTCACTGTCTAGTTCTATTCAACATTATTCTGCTGGAGACACACTGCGCGCTTGCAAAGCGGGTGCCCACGAACACCATAAAAGAAACCGCCGAGACATGTTTGGTGCAGCGAGACAGCCTGCGAGCAGAGCAGCCCGCTGAGCCAGCCATCCTACCTTGAACACGTCGGCGGCCCACTCCTTGAAGCTCTGCTCCTGCCCGTTCAGCTCGTCGCCGCAGGCCACCGGCACGATACGCTCGCCCGAGAGCAGACCCAGCAGGCTGTCCACGTTCTTCCCGAACTGGCAGTAGTTGGGGTAGGCGCTTGAGCCGAGGCCGAACACGGCGAACCTGGTGGTGCGGAGACAGGTGAGGCGCGACGGCCGACTCCGGCCCACGCGCTGCACATGGCATCGCGGGCACATCGCAGCACATCCGAAGTCGGGCACAGCATATCGATATGGTGATCGAGCGTGTGTCGGATGCTTCACAGGCCTCACTGCTTCGTTCTTTGTTCTGCTTTTAATTTGTTCCGCTCCGGCTGAATCGCGTACTGTTCTGGCTCAGGTGATGGGGTGCGCTTCTAAGAATCTGAACAGCACAGAACAATTTCAAGACGACTCCTATAGCGCCTTATCGATGTGTAACAGAGTTGGGGAACCGATCGCGAGCGAGTTGATTCACGGGAATTTAGGAGATACTTAGTTCTATGGAGTGCTGCAAAACCTGCCGGACGTCCACAGCATGCGACGACCGATGCATACATTGCTTTGTTTGCTGCACAAAGAGAGGCTGCTGGAAAGATTACGTCGTTACTTAACTCTCTATCCAAAATGTTTCATTGATGATTCCGATAAGTGCTGTTGGCACAGCTGAAGCTCACACTCCAGCGAGTTTCGAAAAAGCGGCTTCATCTTGACTACGTGAAAATTTGCTGGATTTTGGAGTCGACTTTGACTTCCCCAGCGTTGAACACAAGTTCGTATAGGCACAAGCTGTTACTCACTCCTGTGGGCAGATTGCTTGGAATAACAGAGGTCGCAAAAACGCACTTGCAAGACATGGTGATATCGTCTTTCATAACTAAAGTACGTTCCCACCGCCAGCGTTTTTTACCGTGCCGCTTTGTGCGCGGCCTCGGCTGTCGGTGCTGCCACCTATGTGTCGTACCTGACGTTGGCCAGACTGCCGGCAGGGGCCTCGCTGCAGACGGACGGCCAGTGACACCAGTCCGTGCCGTCGCCGCCCTGCTCGGGCGTGTTGGGCACACTCATGTTCTGCGCCGCGTGCGAGCGCGGGGCCGGTGAGTTGATGTTCTTCGGCGCCGACTGGGAGCGCGTGAACTGGCCGACGGGCACGATCCTGGTGACGGGGCGCAGAGGGTCAGCCGGCTGGCGGTGTGGGCGACCACGTGGTCACGGCGTTGTCGGCACGCCGCTGGCGCGGCAGCGGGCTAGAATGTGTCGCGCTAAAAAGGCTGGCTATGCGATGCAGCGAGTAACTGACATGAGCCAAGACCATTCTACATGGTCGAGTGTTACGCTTGCATTGTTTTAAGTGCTGGACTAGTTTGCACATCATCCCTCGCAATAGCGCGCTGGATATATGATCCGACCTCCTTCATCTGTGGTTGGTAATCCTGCGAAGCATTTTAATGACGTCTGTCACAGAGGGCACAGCGTGTTGGTCCCGTTGGAGTGGTAACCTTTCGTGGGGAGGTTTAAACAGCGCGTTCCCCATGGGATCCGCTTAGGCTCAGCTAGAGATTAGCGTTGCGTGCAGAAGGCGCATCTGGCTTCGTAGTTACCACGCTTATGCGCATTACAATGCAGACGCTGGGATTAATACACATGACACGCTTTCACCAGTAGCTTCCTGAGTGTACCCACCTTTTCGCGACATTGAAGGACTTCTTGATGTCGGGAATGCTGTCCAGGGTGTTGGTTGATGACATCATTAAATGGTACTGCTCCGCCATGTTTTGCTGCAAATCCCAAAGCCAGTAAACGAAAGCACACCAAAGCATATCAAAAGTATTTAAGTCTTCTTAAATGTCTTCATGTAGCCATGAAAGAACGGTGAAACAGTAAAACGACAGGCAAGGAAAACGACACCGCACATGCATCAGCAACAAAAACCTAACTTAAAAACTCAACACTATCTGTCATACACGAGGATGAAAATCCGGTTGTGAATGGTCAAGCCAGTCACAATTTGTACACAAAACCAGCAGCAGATCCTTTTCTGTGTTGTCCTGTACTAAGCATGGCTGGCGCACTGTCCTCACCAGTGCCTTGTAGAAGCCCTCTCCGTTCTCGGGCGGGTCACCGTTTCCGAAGGTGGAGGTCACCACGATGAGCAGGCCCTCGTGCTCCAGATCCACAATGTCATAGTCATCCATGCAGATCACCTGGTTGAGTGAAATCACATAAACACTTGCGTGCCCCATGCCATGGTGCGATTGAGTGACACATTTAACAATCATATTTAGGCTATTTCGTACCAGCCCGAGGCGAGCGGACCGTCCGTTCATGTGACAAGCTATCCCATACTCGTCATCTACCATAAACCTACGTAGGGAACTTTTCTTCAAATTCCAACCAATCATTGAAAGGTTCGCGTCAACTGCGTGAACGCACATCTGACAACCCCCATCACACACAGATTCCCGACATCTGGCAGCTCACTCTCCTTACTCGCCATCAGATTCATTGAATTAGGGTACGTCAGTCGTCACGACTATTGCGTTTACGACGCCGGACCGCCGTCGGTTGCGGACGTGGCGCGTGGAGGCGAAACGTGGGACTGTACCGACGCACGAGGTAATGCGAGAAGAAGAACCCAATTTCCGCCGCTGGCGTGATCTATTTACGCCATCACGGCCGGTGCCGGACGCACGCGGGACGCGATGCAGGGGACGAGCGGAGGAGGACGGGCTGACTGTTCAGCGCTGCCGCTCGCACGGTGTCGAAATTTGGGTTTGGGCAGCGGTTTGGGCAGTCGTGGGTCATTACAGACAATATGGCCAGATGTCAAGCATCAAAATGCACGGACCAAAGCGGACCAGCCTTCTAAATCAGGTCAATAAAGTCACCGCAGCCCTGGGAGCCATCCAAGCTGCCGAGAAATAGAACACCGCTGCGCGGTATTTGATGACGCAGATGGCATCACGGTGGGCTCATTTGATGTTCCGTTGCATGATACATGAATGGCGGAAGCGGCCGGCCGTCAGCTTGTCGGACAGCTGACCCGGCTCCGGCCACCGAGGCCGGCTGCACGTCACGACCCTGACGCTGACGCCGACAGCTCGCTCTCCGTGTCGCCCCGGAGGTGCGGCGCTGTCTGGTGTCGCAGCTCGGTTGTGCTGGAGCGGCCATTTATCAACATATCCGGCATCTCGGCCCGATCGTTTTTAGCTAGGTCTCGACTAACGGAGGGTCGTTGACGCTTTATAATGCTTTTGCATACCAGGACTGTATCGCCATCGAGTATCGTGTTGAAACGAAAAAGGGAAGCTAAGTCAGTGCTATCTGCCCTCAAATATTATAGAAGGTAACCACTTTCAGGATAAGACCTTTGCAAGTGCTCTTTTCGTTGATTTTTCCGTGCTCCTGTTTTACAACGGCAACCATTTCAGCTCAGCGCCCTGGGCTTGGTGATTACGAAACAAGCAAAACTCGCCAACGCTGCACCGACAACCGCCCGCATTGGCCATTGTCAGCAACAGCTACATTATGGAGAGCGCTATAAACCCCGGCCAGCTGACGACGGCGTGACATAACCACACGCGGTCACGTTATGACACCGTTTCCCAGCTTCCAGGGTCAGAAGAGCCCGGCTGCGCCCTTCCAGACATTGCTCGCGGCAACGTTGGTGTATCGTGAGTGGAGGAGAGGGGGGGGGGGGGGGCACGTGCAGCGGTGCTACACGGTTACTAGCGCCCTGGAGAGTTCATTGGCGCGCTGTATCCTGATCAGGAGAGAGTATGGCGAGGTGAAAATCAGCTCGCACTGAACGAGCCATGGTGACGTCCCTCTCGGGTGAAATCGTGCAACCCGACCAACTCCCGAACCTTGCATCTCCAACTCGCGAGCCATCGCATCAGCTCCCAGCTCGTGACACTGCCCGCGTCCAGCCCAGCCGCCAGACCGGAGTGTCGCCCCGCCGAACCTAGCGCAGGCCTGGGCCGCACTTGCGAGACTCCCGTCGACTCACCTGGGCGTTAAAGGCGTGGGAGAACACCTGGCCGAGCATGTTGGCGTACGTCTCGGACTTGCCCGTCTCGGTGGCGTACAGGATGGTGGCCTTGATGCGACGCGACAGCGCCTCGCCGAACAGCTGTGAGGCGAACTGCACCGCCCTGGCACAGAGACAGCCGGCAGCGTGAGGCACGCGCCGCCACCAGGCACGGCTGACCGCCATGAGCCGGGGGTGCGAGGCACCGACTCGCCGCCACCAGGCACGGCTGACCGCGGCGCGTCGGCGCATTAGCCGGCGGCGTGAGGCACCGACTCACCTCCACTAGGCACGCCGCGGCGCGCCGGTGCACGCCGACGTCAAGGTACACGTCGACATCGATGAACGTGCCAGCTCTACATGTGCAAAGTTGCGAGTAAAGCCATCTGATAAAAAGCAATTGCTGCCTTGGTTGGGCAGCAATGTTCTTCCACTGCATTCTGCCATGTCCCCAGAGGTTGCAATATTTGGGTGGGTTCAGCCGCCTACAAACCGAGTTGCTGCTCAAATAGATGTGGGACACAGACAGCTAGCAATATTTGAGACTGCCACGGTATATCTTATTTATATATTTCTGACCTCAAAAAGAGAAATGACACCCTATTTAGGTCGCTTAGCATTGCATATTAACTAAGCGGTTTAGCATAATATGTCGTTTTAAACATACCCCGCAATCTCCTTGAAGTGGAATTTCCTCTGCTGTTTCCGCACGCCTCCATTAGCGTCCCGTTTCTTCCAAGCATGGGTTTTCCAGGCAGCAATCTGTTTGTGGCGGGTACGTAACAGTCATTAGACATATATGGGGCAGTGCAAGTTAGCTCAGACTTAATACGGAGCATGCAGCGATGCTCCTTTTCACGTTAAGACTCTAACCTGCTATTCGATTTCGTGAAGTCCAAGTTCGGTTGGGTGTATCTACATCACGGCCTGCCGGTAGCTCTTTTTGTCATATCCAAACATCGCTAAAAAACAGCATTTACAGGTTCGGTGCCCAGCCAGGGCAGCAACCGCTTCGCATAAGCGGTTGGTGCCCCGCATAAGCCGGCAACTGCGCTTCTCGTTTCGCTGTTTCATAGCATGCCACCGAAATTTTTGTGGAAACGCCTGCCAATTAGCTTGTCCGACGGGCTCAGTTCCGACCTGCAGCGACCGGCTCCCATTGCCTGTGTCGGTCAGTGACCGGGTCGCTATCAGTTGTGCCCTGCACGTGCAGGCCGCGGGGAATCCCGTCAGCCGGCACGTCCGCACAAAGACGTGCGCGCGGAGTCGTGACGTGTTGAGCAGATAGTGGTCCCGGCTGACATGACAGTGGCCCCGACTGACATAACGTGGAGGACAAACTGCTCGGGCCGCGCTGAATCGGCCGGCTCGCTCACCTGGTACGAGTACGTGGGCTTGACGATGTAGCGCGACATTTCCTGGTGGAAGACGGGCGTGGCCGAGCCGGACATGGGCGGCACGATCCAGACCCAGTCGGCCGGGCAGCCGCCGCGCAAGCGCTGCTCGTTTTCCATGAACTTCATGAACGAATCGGCCGCAGTGTGGTGGTCCACGATCGTCACGTTGGCCTCCTGCGACACGTCACACGGGAGCGTTCAGCCTGGCTCGTGGGCGGCCCCTCCCCCCCCCCCCCCCTTCGCCGGCTGGGGCCATGTCAGCTCAAGTACGCCGAGGCGTTTCCCAGACAGAAAAGTCCACAAACGACTGCACGCTTACTGGCCGACTGGCAAATTAGGCTATGATAGATTTAAAATTAGGTTTCAGCGGCCCAATAGCTGCGTACGGCTGCGTTGTTAGCAGCTCCACAGTTGTCACTACGACTCCGACGTGGCGTGAACATAAACATGACGTGAGCGGCACACGACGTTCCGTTTTCCTGAAGCCACGCACTCTTTCTGAGAAACCCCGACCGCCGCCCCCCCCCCCCCCCCCTCACCCTCCCATCCTGACCGGAAATTACAACGCCGGTAGCGGTCGCGATGAAGCGAGATGAAGTACTGTGATGGGGACAAACAAAAGGTACATCATTGACAGTGAACATGCTGCCCAAAAACAGATAGAATATAGACATACGATCCCAACAGCATCCACCCGCGTATCGCGCTGATCTGGTTAAACTGCTGAGTTCGGTAAGGGAAAACTGCCAAGCCCTATCCCGCTGGGGAGGGAAAACGATGCCCCCAGAGGAATCGTGCAAAAGAAAGTCATTTCAGATCAAGGTCAGCTCTATGTTTCTGTTCGAGGAACGTATCTGTAAAGGCATGTGGGGCGTAGGAATGCAAATTTGCATAGAATTTCGATTTCACATTTTCAGTCTTACTGATGTTTCATTCGCTCTGTACCTCACTTACTTTGCCCAAGTATCTCGCTTGATAAGCCTGTTCGCTTAATGATGCTTGGTCCATATTACAACATATCTCAAATGGATTGTACTGCCGATTGCAACCCATTATTCTGAGAAAGCCTGAAGAGCGGATTGTGATCCTGTATGTGTACATGAAACGACTGGGTACTGGACTGCCGCTCACTAGAAATGGGTTTTGCCCTCCGCGTATCAGCCTGCATCGGCGGTGTCCCATGTATCAACACGCATCGGCGATGCCCCACGTATCAACACGCATCGGCGATGCCCCACGTATCAACACGCATCGGCGATGCCCCACGTATCAACACGCATCGGCAATGCCCCCGAGTCAACACGCATCGGCGATGCCCCACGTATCAACACGCATCGGCAATGCCCCCGAGTCAACACGCTTCGGCGATGCCCCACGTATCAACACGCATCGGCGATGCCCCCGAGTCAACACGCATCGACGATGCCCCACGTATCAACACGCATCGGCGATGCCCCACGTATCAACACGCATCGGCGGTGCCCCATGTATCAATAAATTTACCCAACAATTTTTTGGTCGAGGTAGAGTATAAGATGAGCACAAACATTTCACATATATATATATATATATATATATATATATATATATATATATATAACATAACAAGGATTAACGTAACCCTCGTGCAGTAAGTAACGGCGCAGATTTGAGTACAAAAACTTCTCAGGTAGGCAACTTTGCTATTTCTGAACTCGTTTAGATCGTGATCTGCCGTGCCGGTGGAGATAACGTCTGTGTGCCGGTGACCCCGACTGACCTGGAAGCTGTGCAGCACGGCCAAGTTGATCTCCACCAGCGCCTGGTCCTTCCACAGGTTCCGGTAGTTGGACGTGTCCAGGCCCATGTGCTTGGCGATTGTCTAAGGGTCGAACCGTCAGCTATCACACAGGGTGTGGCGACAACAGCCTATTTCACCCTCATAAACTGGTACGCTCTGACAACTCTTTCTTCTTTCCATATGAAATTCGCACACGTTGTGTTGCCTTCTCTCTCTCTCTCTCTCTCTCTCTCTCTATTCTCTCTTCTCTCTCTCTCTCTCTCTCTCATCTCTCTATCTCTCTCCTCTCTCTTCTCTATCTCTCTCTCTCTCTCTCTCTCTCTTCTCTCTCCTCTCCTTCTCTCTCTCTCTCTCTCCTCTCTCTCTCTCTCTCTCTCTCTCTCTCTCTCCGTCTCTCTCTCTCTCTCTCTCTTCTCTCTCTCTCTCTCCTCTCCTCTCTATCTCTTCCTCCTCTCTCTCTCTCTCTTCTCTCCCTCTCTCTCCTCTCTCTCTTCTCTCTCTCTCTTCCTCTCTCTTCTTCTCTCTCTCCTCTCCTCTCTTCTCTCTCTCTTCCTCTTCTCTCTCTCTCTCTCTCTCTCTCTCTCTCTCTCTCTCTCTCTCTCTCTCTCTCTCTCTCTCTCTCTCTCTCTCTCTCTCTCTCTCTCTCTCTCTCTCTTCTCTCTCTCTCTCTCTCTCTCTCTCTCTCTCTCTCCTCTCTCTCTCTTCTCTCTCTCTTCTCTCTCTCTCTCTCTCCTCTCTCCTTCTCCCTCTACTTCTCTCCCTCTCCTTCTCCCTCTCCTTATCCCTCTCCTTCTGCCTCGCCTTCTCCTTCTCCTCTCCTTCTTTCCCCCTCTTCCTCTCCGTTTTCTTTCTCGCTCTGTCCAAATCACCCAGGATTAAACGTTACAAATTATGTTCCAAATATTTACTGCTTGTAGCTTGTTCTTTGTAGCAAAACAGCTGAGTTCAAGCAACGTAATATTCTAAAATCACGGTGCATGTTCGCTCACCATCCAACGCACATGCGCACACCAATAGTGGGTGAGCATGCATGGCAAACATAACGTGCCCGTCCAGGGTACGACAATGCGGATGCTCCACCAGTGGCATGCATCTGGCCTGCAGAGGCATCGAGGACTGCACACAAGTGGTCACCTCGACGTCGCTGCAAACGGAACCACTCCCCGCCACGGGATAGTAACTCGACAGCGCCAGCAGTATCGCCGGATGTAAAGCCTTGTCAAACAGGTTTGTAGGACGTGCCAGGAGCGTGTGCACTGCGCACCGATCCGGCCACTGCACATATGAGGAGGCAAGGCGGGCAAGCCGAGCACATACAGCCCGGATACCATCGTCCACGCCAGGCTCAAATACACGTTATTGCATACTCCAAGCATTCATCTCCACTGGGGCAAAAGACGGATGGGGAATCTCCTTTTCCCCAAATAAAGTTTTTCCAGCACGCAATGCAAAAAAAAAACTGCCTTGGTCTACGGGCTCAACAAGACATTTTTACAGGAGGCATAGCAATTGTGTTTCTATGCGAAACCCAAGTCAACACCTATGGAAGGTTTTCTATCCCCCAAAATATTTTAAAGATAAGATGGTGAAGGTCATCTATGATATATGTTTTTGAGAAAGCTGCGCGTGTGTCTCCCACCTTCATTACACACAAAAGTGTAAAGAAAGTTATGTAGCAGCAGTAATTGTGTACTGGACAGCGATAAAGTTTGTGAAATGAGTGCAGCATGCAAGACAAAAATAGAATGTTTTACACGAAGCAACACCTGAATATATCACACTTCAATGCGCTGTTTTCGTCTAATGAAACCGGATGTGTGCTTTTCAGCGCTGCTCACTTGTCTTATCTGCTCATACTTGCAGTGTTTTGACACAACTCTGCTCCCGTAGGAGGCCTTTAGGAAATCTTGCAGCTTTTTTCTCAAGTAGAACATAAGACGCAGGTAACGTAGCTCACCGCCCCTGTTCTTCAGCCGACAAAGGCCTCGTTAGGGGTTGTCTGGGATGGCAGCCAGGGCGCTGCAATAGTGCGAGCGCTAGAGGGAGTGCCCCGAATTACCTGCTGTGCTCGGCTTTTCCCGTCTCTCCCGAGGTACATTTCAAAATATAAATAGATAAGACGGTACTGATAGACTTATACCTTGGACAAAACCCAGAAGAATGGAGATATAGACGCGTCGATATTTCGGCAACATGCCGTTTTCAAAGCGAATAGCAGAAGTAAATTGTGCTATCCTCTCCACAGAAATGGGCTGTGCTATTCTCCGTATTGAAAGAGGGCCATGATATTAATGCATGGAATTCACTTCTGCTACTCGCTTCGATAAAGGCATGTTGCCGAAATATCAACGCATCTTTATCTCCATTCTTCTGGTTTTTCTCCCAGAAATAATGCTATTACTACTGTCTTATCTAATTGCGTACTATTCCTCGAAAATGCCCACAGCAACTTATCTAACTCAAAACATAAGCATCAACATACGACCCAAAATATTGGCACCTGAACAAAAAGCACAAACTTGACATGAGCCCATGTTGAGATTTTACGGCCCGAATTGATGCCATTTAACGAGAGACGCTCCGCGAGCCATCATCGCGAGGAGCGGACGCAGGAGGCCCGAGCTCTGGCTTACCTCGAGCATGTTGTAGCGCTGCGGATCGCAGAGGTCGCGCGCCGCCACCTCGGTGCTCATGTACCAGCCGCTGAAGGGACAGGCGGTGAACTCGATGCCTCCGCAGTCGAACATCATGCCGGAGACGGCCGGTAGCACGTACCACTGCAGACCCAGCTCCTTGAACCACGGGTACCTGCGGCCACCACCCGAGCCGTCAGAGGCCCCCACCGAGGTCCAAGTCAAGGCCAGAGGAGGGAAGTCGAGACAGCAGCTGGGGCCGGAGATCAGGGCGGGCGGGAAAGGCGAGTCAGGAGAGCGGCAAACTGGGACGGATGAGAGCGGCAGGGATGGCGTCAGAAGGGGCGGAGGGGATAACAAGAACGGCCAGGAGAGGGGAAAGGGGCCAGGGATCAGGAGGTACCAGAGCGCCAGGAGGTCAGGCGAGGCGTGCCTGCGCAGGAGCGGCAGCCAAGCCAGGAAACTGAGGCAAAAGGTTGCGGCTGGAGATGGCGGGCACAGGAAATAAAAAGGACCATGATACTACTTCTACTTGCAGTTTCCAAGAAATGCTCACCGCACTTGGGGTCTTGATGTTCAGTTTGCCCTTTCTGCCGCGACGTGCCGCAAAAATTTACAGGCAGGGAAATTTAGACAGATTTAGGCTCGGGCGGATATAAGCTTTCCAAACGACGATGTCAAACGACAAGTTGGACAAACGCCAGCCCGGAGTGAGGGTGGGCTGGCACGGCTTCGAGACGGCGGCGGCTTCAGCGGCCAGCGCACGTGACCGACAGGCGCCTTGCGCCGTTCGACCCACTTCAGCGCTACCCTCAGCCTCTTTTATTTTAATGAGGCGAAGAAAAGGCCGGCGGCGGCAACACAGCCGATAGCGCGGCTCCGACGGCGCCGGAGGCCAGCCTGCTGCGATCCCGGCGGATGGCTGACCCCGGAGCATCGTGGCAAGGGTCGCGCGGGGCCGTATTAGTATTGCGCACGAATCAGTCGGTGCAGGGAAAGCACACGAAGCTCGTGCATCGGCGCATGCCGGACGGCGGCTGCCACTGAGACAAATAACCCAGTGACCCCCACTTACATCAGTTGGCCATGAATCAAGCGTTACATCGTGGTGCGGAGACGAGGGTCCATCCGAGAAGCCTCTAGCCCAATTCTGCGACTAAGTAGGGTGTATTTCTGGTTCCAGAGTCCTCACTGAACACGTGCGTCACGTGATGAGCAGTCTTGCCTAGCCGCAGCTTTTTCCGCGCTGGGTGTCGTGGCACTCACTGGGAGCTAGGAGAATTCAGTGGGCGGCAAGGACACTCAGTGGGCATCAGGAGCACTCACTGAGTGTCTGACATACTTCCTGGACGTCAGAGGCGCTCAAGGGATGTCGGGTTGCTCCCCCCCACCCGGGAGTCAGTGCGCTTCATGAGTGCCGGGGCACCCTCTGGGCGCCAGCACACTCGTTGAACGTCAGGGCGCTCAGTGGGCATCAGAGACATTACCTGGCAGTCAGTGACACTAACCAGGCGACGAGGACACTTACTTGGGATGCGAGATCTCCACCCGCATGATCAGCTCTGGTGGAATGTCAAAGTACTCCGGGTCCTGGGCGTTGGCCGACAGCACCATCGGCAGGATGTCGAAGCGGGTGCCCTTGCTCTTCCAGCCCAGCTTCTTGCAAACCTTTGGGGGACGAGTGTGCGGTCAGCACTCGGTCTCAGCACTCAGTCGTCACTACTGTACCCAGTGCAGCACTCAGCCGTCACTACTGCACCCTGTGCAGCACTCAGGCGTCACTACTGTGCCATGCGCAACAATCAGTCGTTGGCACTGTACCCAGTGCACCCAACGGGAGGGGCTCCTCAAGACCCATTCTCTTTAACTCAGCTGTCACGCAAGGGCCTCCTGCCGACCCGTGCACTTAAGCTAGCCATCTTGAGTGAACGGCCTACATTCGGCCATGGTGCAATGCCGTCCGCTAAATAAAGGCGTCATATGACAGTTCGGGAATTTTTGTTTCAAATGCAGTGTTACAAACAACTTGATTACGAACCATAAATGCATCAGATTTTGTTATTTTGCAACTATTTACTTGAGCTCAGACGTAAATAAGCACGTTTTAAGACACACTGATTGCGATGAAGCCATCTAAAATGTCACCACCGTCAGTATATTATGATGATAAATGACACTATCTGCACGCATGTGCACGCATTAAGGTTTGTTGCAAAGATCCCTACAGACCTCTTGACTTACGGAAGATTGATTTGCAAAGCTTTTTCAAAACATGACATGCATAAACAGTTTGGTCAGGAAGACTGGCATGGCATACCCGAGTTCTGACGCACTGCACACAGCGTTGTTGCGTGGATGTGCTACTAATATAAGCATCTACTCTCCAGTACCTTGGTAGTTCTCATTTCTCAACACGTCATTTAGTACAAGGGAGCTATGAGTTGTGTAACTGTTCGGCATAAAAGGTTGAAAATACTGATATCCTCGATGAACCTGACTGGAGCATAACCACCGAAGAGCAAAGCATGCAATTCCGCCAAAACGGCTGGCCGTAAAGGATTGAAACGTACCGGGCCAGATTTCCAGGAAGCTGTTTAAGCAGCTGACATGCCTTTCGCCTTGTTTTGTTTTTTAAAGATACTCCAAATCTTTTGATTGAATTTTTTCAGCGATCGGCACCGACGCTGTGCAGTGTTTGTCGCGTGCCCTGACACCACCACCCGAACGGTACTGACGCTGCGCAGTGTCTGTTGCGTGTGCCCTGACACCACCACCCGAACGGTACTGACGCTGCGCAGTGTCTGTTGCGTGTGCCCTGACACCACCACCCGAACGGTACTGACGCTGCGCAGTGTCTGTTGCGCGTGCCCTGGCACCACCCTCAAACGGTACTGACGCTGCGCAGTGTCTGTTGCGCGTGCCCTGACACCACCACCCGAACGGTACTGACGCTGCGCAGTGTCTGTTGCGCGTGCCCTGACACCACCACCCGAACGGTACTGACGCTGCGCAGTGTCTGTTGCGCGTGCCCTGACACCACCACCCGAACGGCACTGACGCCGTGCAGTGTCTGTTGCGCGTGCCCCGACACCACCACCCGAACGGTACTGACGCTGTGCAGTGTCTGTTGCGCGTGCCCTGACACCACCACCCGAACGGTACTGACGCTGTGCAGTGTCTGTTGCGCGTGCCCTGGCACCACCACCCGAACGGAACTGACGCCGTGCAGTGTCTGTTGCGCGTGCCCTGACACCACCACCCGAACGGAGCTGACGCTGTGCAGTGTCTGTTGCGCGTGCCCTGACACCACCACCCAAATGGTGCTGACGCTGCGCAGTGTCTGTTGCGCGTGCCCTGACACCACCACCCGAACATAAACTTCCGGGCCAACGGCAGAATTTGGCGGCGAACGCGTAACGTGTCGCTCTCTTCGGCACGGTCTCACCACCCTCTGACCTCATCTGCCCCTTACTCTGACCTGCCCTCTGACATTAACTGACTTTAATCGCGGTCGCTGTCACTGGCGGTAGGCTGCTTCAGTCAAGGGTAAATTGCGGGAGCCGAAGGCGACTCGAACCCACCCCGCCGCCGGTGGGTGAATCGAACCCACCCCGCCGCTGGTGGGTGACTCGGATGGCTGGCACTCCAACCGAATGAGCTATCGGATCTGGTGTGATGTTTCCAAGGTTTTCTCTGTGTTCGAGCCCATGTTTATAAAATACGTTAGGAACTGGCCCCAACCAAACTCTTTGTAGCTGCTGATACCCTGACAATCGCCGCCGCATTATCACCGATCAATATCGGCCGGAACGGGCCCATTTTCCTCTCGATGGCTTCAAGGAACTGTGAAAGGCGCCCGATTGTAATCTGCCTCAAGTGCCACCCACGACCGTTTCAGCCGCGGCTTCTGGATCCTCTAGCATGAATCGAACGTCCGAATACCACTGCCGAGCGGCCGCCGGATCTGAGGACGCCGCGCCAAAATAGCCCGCATCTCATTATCGGCCGCAGCGGATATCCCCGAGTCGACCGCCAGCTGCACTTCTGAGATGAACGCTGGTGGAGCGGCTGTATAAGTTAGACACCGATTTAGGGTCGAGTCGGCCTCGTGGGTCAGCAGCGAAGGCTTCCGAGCCGCCCACACGCCGCCTGTCAGCGGCGGCGGAGACCGACTGACCCTCCACTACCGACCACCGGCGGCGGCCGACCGAGCGCCGCTCCGCCTCCGCCGTCCTCCGCCTCCGCCGTGCGGCGTGTCGTCCGGCAGTGCCTCCCGCCCCGCGGCGCCTCCCACCCCCGCGGCGCCTCCCGTCCCGTGACTGCCCTTACCTCAGTGAACTCGACGTTGGCCGGGTCACCAGTGATGGTTCCGTCCTCGTTGCGGTAGCCGGCGTAGGAGACGAGCTGCTGGTTCCAGACGCGGTAGTCGTGCTCGCCGTCGGTCCGCTGCGGGAACACGGTGATGGCCGACCTGCGGCGGCCGGCCGGCCGAGTCAGCGGCGCAGCACGCCGGGGCACCGCAGCCGTCATCAGCATACTGGACTTGGTGATCTCGTCATAATAGATGGCACCGTTGTCAGTATATTCCTCCCATGCTAGTGTATATGCGCATCGTGCACAGTCTATACCGCACCTTTTATCTTATACCGTGCCCAACATCTTTAAGGGACTGTGCTAGCTGCTTCCCAGATGTGACGTCCTTAATTACTTGTTTACTCCCGCCTAAGTAGAATTGATTTTTCTGGTCGATTAAGGCCGACTTCAAGTCCTTACCTGAGGTTGCCCTTGTTGGTGGTGTACTTGATGTGGTTGCAGATGGCGTCGAACATCTGACCCGCGGTGGTGACGTAACGAGCATCAAACAGCTGCCAAACCAAGGCAAGGCCTGTAAGACTTCGGCAGGCAGACAGGCACAGCAATGCCGCTCAGGCATATGCCAGAAAGGTGGTACGATGACCTAGATTGGTAGCCGTGGCGATAATTAAACATCTTTAACACTAACGTATGAAAGCCTGGCCTAAGGATTGTGTGTTCCAAACACTTGAGGTTGTGTATTCTAGCATATCTATTATCGACATATGCACGCCATGTGCACGGAATGCAGCATTGGTACCGCAGCCGCGCACATGCTTCTGTTCGACGGAGTTTCCAAAAGCTCCTGGTCCTGCAAAGCATTTCGCTGATGCCAACCGCGCACAGCATCACCTGGTCTCTAGCTTCCCTTCCCCGACTCACAGTCTCCCATGCCCCCCCCCCCCCCCCCCCCCCCCGGCCGGTGGCCTCACCGTCAGCTTGTTCCATTGGATCCTGCCGATGCAGCGGTAGGCGTTGCGCCATGCCATCTTGGCGCCGTAGGTGAGCTCCTGCGTGGTCAGTTGGTAGGTGCCAGTGCGGGCGACCTCAGCCTGGATCTGCTCCCAGCGCGCCTGGTGCTGCTCGCTCGGCGGCCTGCGGCACAGCGGCGCTAGCTAGCAGGAGGTGCCGCTCGCTCGGCGGCCTATGGCATAGCGGCGCTCGCTAGCAGGGGCCGCCGCGGTGCACAGCGGCCGCAGCCGGTGCTGGGGACGTCCAGGGCAGTCCGCCTGGGAACTGGTCCAATGCAGCACCACGCCGAGCCACGAAAACGGAGCTAAGCCGGTGGGGATGTCGTACAAGTGTTGACAGGATAGCCCGTGCACAATCCACCCGTTCATGGGCAGTCGCTGACGGCGCAGACGACTCACCCTGGATAGGGCGGTATTCCTCGAGAAGACCTCCGCTGGGGGAGGACATGGTGTCTCATTAGGATGAACCCACCACTCTGAGCGGACCTGCTTCGGGGCTCACCTGTTCATGGAGCGGTAATAGCCGTCGATGAACTCCTTGGCCTCCGTGAGCAGGACGTCGCGGGAGCGTGGCGTGCCTCGCGGACGGTCCTGGTGCTCGGGCGAGCGCGGGAACATGACGCTGCCGCCGCAGTGTTTCGGCTGACATGGGGTGTCCTGCGCGGACCAGGGGCGGCTGGTCAGGGCAGGTCGCACCGCCCCACAAACCCTGAGAGTCCCACAACGAAGCATTAACCCCCTCCCTCCCCCCCCTCCCCACCCCCCTAACGGCTAGCGGCCTCAAACAGCCAGGGGTACTGTAACGACGAACTGACCCTCACGGCTGGTGGCAGCAAACGACCCGGGGTTCCCGAGCCGACGAACTGACTCCCGAAGGCAGCCGAGACAGCGTGAGGCCGTGAATGGCCCAGCACGCTGGTCATAAGCCGTCCTTAAGAGCAAAAGGCTTCCGAGACGAACAGGACCAAGCATGCGGAGGCCTCTGAAGGGACCTGAATGCTTTTATTCGGGTTCAGGGGCGCGTCGACAACATCGGTCCTTTTGCGCCCGGAAAGAGAGTTGAATGTGCGTAAACGAAAGATGGTGAAGACGGCATACAGCCAACAGCGCTGTGGCCTAATGCTGATTTTCCGCTTCCGTGCATCGCAGTGCTGTACTATGGTGATCTACCGTCGCATGCATGGCAAATTTACGGATCAGTTCATGCCTACGTGACACGGAGGATACGATAACACTGACACCCTTATTCTTTGTAAAATAATCTTCCAGGGAGATGGGGAGAAGATGCGTTGATGCTTCGGCTACCTTAACCAAACCAATATGAACAGTCAATTCTAAATTCACAACTGCCTGCCGATCCCACTCGATTGTTCAGTTGCTTTTCAACAGCAGCACAATTTGTACAAGTCTCCAACATTCAGGGAATTAAACGAGTAGTAATGATCAGCCATTTATGCGATACGGTGTATACCTAACCAACGATTATAATGTGTAAAGAATGCGTGTGCATACAAAGTCATGCAAATCGTCAGCACAACAGAAAGGCATAAAATAAAAAAATGGCAAATAATACATGGTTTAAAAATGAATTGATACACGTACACCTATTTTTCAGCATTTCAGTGCTTCGTTGGATATACACTGTGACGTATCAATGACTGGCAATGGCTCCATGTTTAATTTCCTTGATGGTGGTGGTTTGACCGCGAAAAATCGGGTGGAATCGGCAGGTCATTTTGAATTTGGGATGTATTATCAATATTTGTGTCAATAAAAGTATGCAGGTGAAATACCAATACATCTATCGCTCCTTTCTAATGGTCTAGTGGTCTGAAGCCCGTCTCGGTGGCTCAGTTGGTAAGAGCGCCTGTATTCCGATCCATCTACCCATGGAAGGGTGGGTTCGAGTCGCTTTAGGGCGCTTGCTATTTGCCCTTGGCAGGGCTGGCCTGTAGTCGGTGGCAGCGGTCGCGTGCCGAGCATTGCGGCACGTTAGGCTTTCGCCACTAAATTCTGCCGTTGCCTGGAATTGCGTGATCGGATGGTGGGGGTCAGGGCTCACACAACAAGCACCGCTTAGCGTGCGCTGATCCCAGAAATCCATCCATTCAAAGGGTTCGGATCAAATTTATTAAAAAAGTTATTCTATAGGGCGGATATAGGGCGAACAGCACTGTCTCATCTATATGCATAATGTTTCTCGCAGTTGCACTTAACAATTTAAGTAGCACGGAAAAGGTTTTGTGCCAGAGCTTGAGGGACACAGCCATGTTCAACAAGCGGCACGAAATGGATGACCAAACACCATGGCCAAGGGCCACTTGCAGCCAGTTGCAGAAGCCGTTCTCCACCATGGCCGGCTACTGTTGGTCAGGTTACCAGCCTCTCCGTGACCGTGACGGCTACTGATGCCGCTCCGTGACCGTGACGGCTACTGATGCCGCTCCGTGACCGTGACGGCTACTGATGCCGCTCCGTGACCGTGACAGCTACTGATGCCGCTCCGTGACTGTAACGGCTACTGATGCCGCTTTCTGACCATGTCGACTACTGATGTCGCTCCCTGGCCGTGACTGTAAGACAGAGGGCGGATATTGCGCCGATCGCGCGGTGCGGGAGTCGCAGCGCCCATATTGTGTGGGATCTGCTCCACCCCGCTCATCAGCGTCATCTGCAGAATCTCTACGCGAAGTATGCTCAATGATTGCTTTGACGCATCCCTCGACAGTGTCGCTCACGACTTTACAGCCCTTACGCAGTATTAATGTGCAGTAAATATCACGGCTGAAAGGCTGTTCTTGGCTATTTGCTGCTGCACAAACCGGTTCTGAAACGGCAGTCGAAACCAAGCACTTTCCGAAGCCAAGGCGGAAAGGATTTGCGACTCGCCAGATATGGCTGCAGGGATGCTTATTTTATTGTCGTCATCAACGCAAAGCCTCGACGGGAAGTGTTGAATCCAGTGAGCAGGCTAATTATTTCGGTCCAACTGCCATTCGATGGCTGCAGGCATTAGCGGTCCTATCGACTGACAGGCTAGATATGGTCGAACCGTGGCACACGCTTGGTTTGAGGGGAGTGTTATATGAGCCGATTTTACGATGAATTAAGGCAAATAATTTTTTAAAAGTTTCTTTTAAGTTTAAGTACCCACTTGACACAAACAAAAACAAATTGTTGTCAAATTTCACACGCATGCAAAATGTGAACCACGCGTATCCAGCCATGAGTTAATCATATAAAACGACACTATTTAGAGACCTTGATATTCAATCCCTATCTTTATTTTACCCAAATTCTGGAGGAAATCTAGCATGACAACCAGCCGCGCGAATCGGTTGAGGGCGTTAGACGCCGGCTGCGCCATTATTGTTTACATCGGTGCTGTGTGGTGCACGGAGGTCTTTGAGGATCACTTAATGTAAGGATCATTCATCGTGGATCGTGTTTAAACATTTAAACTCTGTACGGAATATATGTGAATAGGGGCGCGACCAAGATAAAGCCGTTTGTTTCGTCCCGTCTGCGTCAGCGATGCCACCCAATATTAAAAAAGTTCGAAATTATTTCGTTAGAGAGAGGTCTTCACCTCTCCATAATACTACGATCTTGCTTACCGCCAGCCAAACGAAAGAGCATAATCTTACTTACAGCCAACATAGCGGAAGAGCATAATCTCGCTTACAGCAGCCAATTGAAAGAGCACAATCCCGCTTACAGTCAGCCAAACGACAGAGCATCGTCTTCCTTACAACCAGCCAGACGAAAGATCATAATCTTGCTTGCAGTCAGCCAAGCGATACTTCATCAAACTATGCGTCTTTACAAACATGTTTTTAAATGCATGCACGAAGATTTTGACCGACAATCGCTGATAGATGCATGTGGTTCAAAAACAAATGCAGATTTTTTAACTTTTAAAAAGCATTGCACTATAATCAGTTGTGAAAACGGTCATGATCTTGGCTTCGGCAAGGACGAAAGCATTTTCTTTTTTCTCCCGCTTCTCATGAATCGTTGTTCTTCTTTGGGGCAGAAACAGTTCAGGAGACACAAATGCTGCCAATGTTGGTGTTCTGAGCACCGGAGCGCTGCAGGGACTGTGTTCTGAGCACCGGAGCGCTGCAGAATCTGTGTTCTGAGCACCGGAGCGCTGCAGAGACTGTGGTCTGAGCACCGGAGCGCTGCATGGACTGTAAGCGTCTGAATGGCGCCGTTGGAAGACGAGCCAAGTATATTTATGAGAAACGCTAGGCCAAGCCAAAACCAAATATCCTTTCAATGATCACCGGTAAAATCGATTTCGGTAAGCTTCATGTTAGAGGAGTCTACAGATCCCTTTCAGTTATTCATGTCAGGGGAGCCTACAAAAGATTGAGAAAGATGGGAATAAAGTTGATGGAACGCATGACAGTCAAAATTAGCAAGTTTTGCCATTTAAGTGGTAAAGTTTCTATAACGTTATCGTTGGAAGCAACGAACTACAGGCTGCATTATGCAGCTTGCGTACTTTCACAAAGAGGCGTGCGGTTTCAACTTATGTGATATATTGTTATCTCCGCAGACCTTGTTAGCAAGCTCCCATGTAATATGTATGGGGACCGGGCTTTAATCAGGGACGCTCTCTATGTTGTCTCATCTTCAGTATGCAGAGCGCTGCTGTTTTGAACACGCCATGCTATTCACAGTTCATGGGTATCTCTAATGTTGAGTCGCGTCTGGCAATATACGGCAGGCACGTTCTCTCAACCAACCTGCACACCTTTTAAGCTGATTGTTGTTTTCCAGAGTAAGTTCAACGCATCTTTCGTGAAAATGTGATACGATACGAATATGAAAAGGCAAATGTCATACTGCACACAGTTGTGGTGCCCGGCTGTCTGCGGGTGAGTCCGTACCTGACCTTCATCGCCCGTTCAACCGGCGCATGTTTTTTTTTTCATTTCCGCTCACGGGTGGCATAGCTGATGCTGATGCGATGATGTGATTGAGGATGATGTGATTGATGATGATGATGTGATGTAATGATGTGACTGCTGGGGCTTATACGGTCTTCGAGGACATGGCGGATGAGCTCGGGAGATGTGACGGCGACATGCACTCCTCACTACAGTTGTCATGTCACGCAAGACTGGCATGGAAGAGGCTCGGGGCTGTCAAATCTGTGGGATAGATATCTGTGCTGTAGGATTTAGCACAATCTGCGTCTGAGCTCACGAGGCTTTTTGCCTTCTAGCATGCGAAGTAAAATTGCAGACTTACACGCGGCCCAAAGTCTGGAGATAATCCCTCATCAACTGCAGCACACCGTTGTTGCAACCGTCCCTTAGAAAGTGTCCCAATAAGAGGATGGATCAAGAAGCGCGGAGTTTTTACGTATGGGCGATGTTCCTTCCTCGGATCATTTTGTTGGTCTGGGAGTTCAGACAACCTCTGCCCCACGCTTATAGGAATATCACTATGTCATGGAAAATACCTGCTATTACTTAAATTAAAGCAAGACAACCATTACTAATGATATATAACTACAACAAACACATTTTCTCATTTATTACAGAGTAAAGCCGAAAGGCAGCGCATGTCGCCGAATTTCTGAGGCATGTGCGATCTGTTAGCTGATCAGCAGATCAGATTGCACTGCTGAACGGGTTAGTTGATCGGCAGTGTAAGGGACTCCTTGGCTCAACGTGCATGCGCTGGGCGGTGCGAGGCAGCTGTTGCAGTGACGTGTCTGACCTCGGCAGTGACACGCCATAAGTTGCCATGCGGGGTCGATTTCGCTGCTGCCCGCCCGAGGCACGTTCAGGCAACGCCACGAAGCGCGTACTGGACCGGTACAAGCGAAAAAACACCACCTGTTGACCTTTGTCGAGCTGAGAGTGATGGCCGCGATTTCATGCCGCATCCATAACGACATTAGCTACAAGCCGCTGACGCACACCCATGTCTCCTATGTAAGAGCAAACCGTCGCAAGACACGCGTTGCCGGCGTATTGCTATCGACCGGCTGGACTTGGCCTGCAGCTACCAAGCTCCTGTTCGCATATTCGTAACTCTGCCTCACCTAGAACCCTATGGCTTACTTCATGTCTAATACCTTTGCCCTATCATTCCTTTCCCCCTATTTAGCATCTCCATACCATAACAGCTATTCAGCATCTTCGTGTCCTTGCGTTGAGTCCATTGTTAATCACAATTCACTACGACAGAATCGACCTTGCCGAGCCTATAAAGGGATGACGCTTCACCTTGCTCGCTCAAGCTATGCAGAGGCTGCGAAGGGTTCACCAGGTCGGCCTCCTCCCTGCCAGCCGGGGCTCGCGGCGGTGAGATGGATGTCGGGAGTGACGGCCTCCCCCCTGCCGGTCGGGGCTCGCGACGGCGAGGTGGATGTCGGGAGTGACGGCCTCCTCCCTGCCGGCCGGGGCTCGCGGCGGCGAGATAGATGTCGGGAGTGACGGCCCCCTCCCTGCCGGCCGGGGCTCGCGGCGGCGAGATAGATGTCGGAAGTGACGGCCCCCTCCCTGCCGGCCGGGGCTCGCGGCGGCGAGATGGCCGCAGAGTAGCGGACGAATCACAGGCGCTTGCGCTGACGCTTACGTCCGCTTAGCAGAACAGCATCTAATACGGCGGCATGTATGGAAGCGGAGGTACCACAGAAGACAGTAAATCCAACTTACCGAATGCAGTACGCCCGTGCGATGGAGATGTAAAATGTACTAGTTCCTCGTAACAGAAGACTTTTTCTTATACTCTTGATCAAGAAGTTGCCTGGGCACATTTGCTGAGCAATGCATTCCTGGCACAATGATGGATCATTTTTGACGTTAGTCGTGTGGAGAAATAACCTCGCGACTACCTATCACTCGGTATTTTTCATTCTGTATGTCTAAAACCGAAAAAAGACTCCTGAAGAACAGCCGAGGGGAAAGCGGTTAAATTGGACTAATGCATCCTCTAACACCACGGAGAGGAGGATAGGCTACGCTTTTTATTACATAAAATCACATCAGCAGTGTATTTGCAAAGTTAACAGCATTCACAAAAGGTGCAGTAAAAGTACGAAGCAAACGAAAAGGGCACCAGCGGACTGTCAAGCCAGCAGACGGAACCGAAGGATGACTGTGCCAGTTAATGATGTCAGTGGAGTGGAAGGTTAGTTGACATGGTGATGGCCCAGGGACCAGCAGCTGGCGCGAGGCCCTGACTGCCACGCCGAACCGTGACATGGTGATGGCCCAGAGACCAGCAGCTGGCGCGCGACCCTGACTGCCACGCCGAACCGGCGGGCTAAACAGCCGCCAGTAGTGTCTGCGGCCATTATTAGTTGTTCTTAGTTATTCTTAGTCCTCTTTAGTCGTTCTCCAACTGTTGGGAAGCCGAGCGTGACGCCTAGATGAGTTTATATAGAAAGAAGCAGTTAAAAAACCTCGAGGCCCTCCCTAAGTTTTGGAGCGCGGTGGAAATGCCGAGTGGGCGTTGTTTCAAGTCGCAGTATCATGAATGTAATTTTGTACGATATAAAACACGCCACATACAAAAACTGAGTCCGGTGTTAAAAGGAGTGCCATACATTTGAAGATATTGAAGTCAGAATTGGAGTTGATGAAATAAAGTCATATATATTGGTGTAAACACAACTTTCACGTGGCTCTGCTCGTAGTTCGAACGGTTCAGTTTTTCCACACTTTACATAGATGCGTGTTTTCCATCGAGGCCAATATTATTCCTGTTGACCACGTGTAAGGTGCAGCAAGATGTAACGAAACCTAAGTACGTAAAACTATACCGCACTGAGCAACTTTCCGATGCAAACAGAACAAAAACAATACACCAGTGTCGAAGTCATGATTCACGAGTCGAATAATGAATCGCTGAACACAGAGCTTCGCATGCTACTTGCATGAGGCACCAGAGGGCTGTCACATTGCCGTGATTTGTCTGGGTGATAAATCAAGTGGAACTGAACGATCAGTTAAGGAACGGTACCCAGAACGCCATCTTTAGAGTTTCGCCACAAAGATACGTCAAAGCTTTACCGATTACAGAGAAAGACTTTATTTCAATAGAAGAAGTGATCGACCAGTCCAGTCATGTAAAATTGATTAAGCTGATAAGAACCACGAAAAGTGGTTACCGGTAGTTAAAATGAAGCACACATATCTGTCTCTTAGCTCAGCAGACCGGCGCACACGAAACGGTTTGGCATCGCCATGCTTCTAACAAACGTCATAACCATAATATGATATACAAATACTGATGCGACACCGACACGGAAGTTTATTTTCTTTGAGTGTTTTAAGCATATACTTTGAAACCTAATGAACGGAGTCGAATCTGGGGTTTCGCTAGGGCAATTATCACTTGCAACATTATTTGACCAGACGGGGCCCTACCGGTTTCGATAGGGCTCCTACCCAAAATTGTGTCAGCTTTGCCGTGGCCATGACCAATATAATGGACTCTAGTCAAACGGTCAAGGCTGTGCCGAGCAGTGCTGCACCGTTAAACTGGCGTCAATTTGCATGTCTCATGGACATAGACAAAACATCTCGCACAATTGTGCAAATCCATTGCAATTGTGTTTCTTCATTTCTGTCTGCATGCTGTGCTTTCTTAATTTTATCTTCAAATATTTAGAGAGCTCCACGTGTTAGCCCACACATGCGCATGTTGAGCTCCCGATATTCCACAAAGACCGTCGAATGCGTGGCGGCCAGAGGTGTGCGTGGAAGGGAGAGAACACTGCATTCAGCCGGCGAGATCTCCGGTCATGTGTCCGACGTCCGAGGAGGGTCGGACGCCATCCACGTGTCCGACGTCCGAGGAGGGTCGGACACGCCATCCGCGCACACTGGACACACGCTTGGCCCGTCGGCGTCCGTAGCCTTCGTGGGTAGGTCACGTACCTGCAGTGCAGAGTTGCACAAAGTGTCGACGTACTCTTGGCCGTTTTCATAGTTCTTCAGCTTCATGAACCTCCTGTTCATGGGGTGGTACTTGGAGCCGATGAAGGGGCAGCCAGAGGCCATGCCGTCCTGTCCGGGGGTCTCCTTCATGGTGGCGAACCCGCTGTGTCGACACCAATGGTGCAGCGGCGGCTCGGCGGGCGGTTATAAGGCAGCGCCGGGTGCCCCTCCCCTCCGGGCGTCCGCGACACGGGCACGGCTATCTCCCCGCGGGGCGACGCACGTCCGCCGCGATCGCTGTGCCACCTGGCGGTCGGCTGGCCAAGCTGACCATCGCGTGGGCCATGGGTGAGATGGGCGGGGCGCGGTAAAGCGGCGGGGCTTTGATGATCGCCCGCACCGACACGGCGCGCTGAGAACTCAACGCACCACGTGACTGGACAAACGAGTCTAAACATCATGCGATTTGCAGCCGACGGTGGCAAGGTGACGGTGTAAACTGAAGGCGCTAGGCTCTCCGCCGAGGCGGTGCCTGGGGCGTGAGATCCGCAGTCTGCGGTTGTACTAACATGGCCAGGTATGCGCGACAAGTAACATAGTGACATAAGCATGTATGCGTGACCGTCAAAGTTTGGGTCGCAGATATTTGGGTGTGGGGTGATTTAAAGCAGTAGCGTGATGGTCCATGACTTGTTTTAAATATATGTTGAGCCCCAAACAGGCTTTTAGCCATTTCTTTTTTAGGGAAAATCTCCGGAAAAGCATCGTTGCCAATCTTACCAGAATAGGGGGAATGGCCGCCCTAATAGGGGGAGGGGGTCGGTGTGACCCCGCCCCTCTATGATTTCTGAGGATACCTCTCCGGCATGTCGCTTAATCGCAATCGAATTTTTAGTGACCAATGGGGCATCCATTACGTGCATTTTGACACCAAAAACGTGTTCCTAGCAGTTCTGGGCTGGGAGCAGCGGCGGTTTTTTAGGAACACCGCACGGCGCGTTGTGCAGGGCGGCGGGCCGTAGCCGGCCATGCCCCGGAACGGGCGCAGCCGACCGACATTGTTGCAGCAACGGAGTCATGCATCTGACACAAAAGGTCAAACACAACAAACTCTACACTGTTCTACTCAGAAGCAAACAGGAAGCATGCCTGTTTTGGCGTCGTGCTGCTTCTAGACACGGTCTCGTCCACATAAGCATGAAAGCTAAAATGGTCATTTTCGGGAAATTCAGCCTTTGACCTGGCATTACGAAATCAGCTATTGGCATAGAAACATTGATCATCAATCGTGAGATTACGTTGGACCAATCCATTGACGTTTTCCGTTAAGCTCTATTTTTTAGTTTGAAAACGGCAGGGGAGAGGTCTCATCGATTCCGTTCAGTACACGTTATGAAGGACGACGCATCAGGGCGAGGATCAAAACTGAAGTCTACGTTTTGGCACATTTAAAGTTGAGAGCCACGATGTACTCCGACAGCAAGTTCCAGTCATTGGCCGTTCTGACTTCGCAACAGTTTCTTTGCGTACTGTTGAGATATCTGTGCCCTTGGAACCTTGAGACATCTACTGGCAAGGGAACATGCCTGAATGATCGGATATCGAGTCTTCACCCGTAAGATTGTCTTTATCCAACCTGTGCGCTAACCACGAGGCTGCGCCTTACGCACGCGCCAATCATGCCCCATCAGTTGTACCCATCCGCCAGTCATGCCGCATCAGTTGTACCCATCCGTTATTCATGCCGCATCAACAGTGCCCATCCGTTACTCACGCAGTTGTATTTTTCTGGCACCAGTTCTACATTACGGAAGAGTTTCAGTTAAAACCCGCACTCAAACCTATTTTTGCATTGAAAATTGCAAGAATGATGTGAATAAAGCTAATTCTGACTAAAGAAAAGCGGCATTAACGTTTCATAGTATTTCTCGCAGTGTCCATTCGATATTTCGCAAATGCCTTGCCCATGTCTGCACATATACAGTATCTGTCCACAAGTCCGTACAGGGCCCAGCTCGTTACCCATCTCATACAGGCGTCCATGGTTAAACAAAAATACTGAAGATCTTACTTCACGCGGTAGTATGAACGCGTATTTCAGACTTCTTGATGGCTGGGAGGTCAGTAAATGTGTTTGTTGAGCTTTATAAATATTGTAAGAGGTCACTGACCTAGAAAGGCCCCGGCCAGCCTTTTGTTTTTAAGAGCGTACTTCTTCGTGTAATCCCTGATATTCATTCAAAAGCCAGGACAAACCTCGCGGATTTTGGTCACCGTGACCTTAACAAAGTAAAATGGGGTCACTAAACTAAAATAAACACCAGTTGCCTTTCGCTTAGTACGGATTCTAGGTTAATGGTGCTTGCGTAAGGGGGACTGAGGGAACTTCTGGCACCTACCTGTAGTTTGAAATTGTTTGACGAGATTTGGCCCAAGTGTCATCATCTAGCAAGCTCTCAAAACCCGATGAAACTGAGCTCACATGCAAGCTTATCTATCCTGTGAATTTGGAGTCTCTAGCTATCTTAGTATTTGAGATATCAGGGCGCAAATTGAACTCCAACCGAGTGGCGTCGTATTCGGCCGGCCACCCGGCTGAATATGGCGCCACTTGTTTGGAGAGCGCGCTTTAAACCTAGTAAGCTTAAAATTGACATCACGCTATGTTCTGCATACCTGCACACCCATCACGCTGCATGGTAAGAAAAAGGGAAATTCCTTCCGTTCTCATGATCATCAGACGGTGGCAACGCTCTTGTGTCTGGCTGTTGAGGCTCAAATATTGGGAGAGCCCTTCATCTTTGTCACTAGGTCGATGGGCCGCACGTCAAAGATGTGCACTGGAGTTCAATCCCCACTCTTCGCTACATGCGCTGTGGCAGCCACGACGCCTGCTCATGTGCATCATGCGGCAAATGGGGAGGGTCCTCACGAGCCTGGTGGTATGCATTTTCTATCGAGGAACATGTGGGTAAGAGTGCGTTTGTATATATGTGTGCAACAACACAGTGGGAACAGCACAAGGGAGATGTTTCTCTAATTTTGCATCAACGCAGGGTGCTGAAATAAAATGAGCCTCCAGCGTGTGCGCCGACATGATGTGAACAGCATAAGAGAGATGTATGACTACATGCACATCAACGCAGAGTACGGAGAAAGTGAATCTCCTGTGCCTCGAGCTGAAGCCGGTAAAGCTACTCTGCTCACTTAGGTTTGACATCCTGTGATGCCTCACGAACAAGGTAATAAGAGCACTCTGATCTGAGAAGCGCCCGGGGTTCCTCTGTATCATCTGTCTCCTTAACGCGCGGTCTTTTTTATCCGGTGAGATAATGCAAGATGATTAATCCGGCAGCCAAAGGCACGTGCTCGAAACGGATGCTTGTACTCGCCAGTACCGGAGCTGGCGCAAACCGCTGCTTTTCGGAGACATCTCCTGAATCATGCAGTTGAATAAAATCTCGTTATCAATAAATTCGAAATGAGCACTAGAAACTAGTCCATACAGCAAGCCTTTGAGTAAAAAAAGCGCGGTTTTCACATTGGTCTGACCTTCATACCAGACCCTAGGTCAATAGAACTTATCAATTCAGTTGTTGTATTGCCTAAGAAAGTATCTCAGAGATGTATGGCATTGTCTAACACTCCGTTGTGGGATGAGATTGAACGATTCCCTAGAAACTGTCTTCCTGAAACCATGGCCTGACTTTGACCTACCATAGGTCAGCAGCTTTCCAAGGTTCATCTAAATCTGCAACACCAGACGATCCGCTATTCAATTGTCTACAGCTCTGCAAAATTTTGCGCGGCTACACCACGCCGTTCGGAAACCATGGCGGAGGACCTTCAGCGGGGGAAGGGCAATTTAGCCCCAACCCCAATCCCCACCTGAGCGCTTAAGTGACAGTGCAATGTCGGCCGTAGTGTGTAATTTTAGGTCACCCCTTCAGTTCAAGGTTTTAAGCCGCGTTAAGTAATATTAGCGCATCTATCACCACGTACCAATTTTACCACAGAACATGGAATTACGCTTGCACGGTCATCCAAGGCCAAGGTCATGAGAGGTCATGAGTGACCTGAGGTGACCTCACCTCACCATTTGTAAGTCTCGCACTAACTTACATCAACTTCAATCGGCACAAATACGCGAAGCTATGGGCAGACGGCAAGAACTCTATTTGACCTCTCCTGACCTGACCTCCGATCTGACAGGTCAACCGTAGAACATACCGTCACTGCAAAAGAATAAAGCAAGAGCTGTGGATCCCGTCCTTGCGGAGTAGTGGCCTCGTCGGTATGGAGAGGGGCGTTTGCTGTTTTGGCTCACCGGGCGTGACATCAGCGGGGAATATTTTGACGTCAGAGGTCGGGTGTCATGGTGGTCGGCGCCTGTGGCCGGCGGCAGGGATCCCCGTGATATCTACGACCGCATAGCACGTAAGGCTGACACATGTTCGCTTTGACGGAAAATCTGTAGTGGACGGAGACCTGGCGGCGGACTCTCCGGTTTGCGCCAGCCTTCCGGCCTAATGATAGCGCTGGTGTTCAACGTCCGCCGGAAGCCCACATGGAGGATCAGGCCGCGATTTATATTCGTGACTATTCATATCTGCCGTGGAAAGACAGTGCCGAAGACACTGGTAATTGCACGCTGCTTGGACGTCATTTCGTCTTGTTTACGAAGTAGAGCCCCTCGCTACGCACCCAGCCTTTCGGAACATTCAGCACTTAAGCTGAGTGGTCGCGTCATCTTTGCCGAAAGCAAGTAGGAATGCTTGCTGCAGAAACTTTCTGGTGTCAACTTTTTCTGCAACAAGATTATTGCTACAGCAAACTTGAAGAGTAAGAAATATAGCTTCTTCTACAAACTTCGCAGCGACGAAATCTTTGCAGAAAGAAGGTTTGAGGCTGTGCAAGATTTATTCTAGACAGCTCGTGTAAAATACAAACTGTCATTCCTTTCCTTCTTGCACGCAAACTTTCCTCTCATACAAAAAAAGAAATGGCAGGGTTTGATTTTCTTCCACATCACAAAGTAAAAAACAAAGCTCTTCTCGTGCCGCAAAGGAGCACAAAGAAAATGATAATGCCCGCTTCTTCTGCGTCGCTTTCAAAAGACAGCGCGGACGCGGACGGGCGCGAGCTGCAAGTCACTGTTGTGATCTCAAGCTGGTGGGCTGCGACATCCCGCCGCGCGCGCTTTCCAACGCGCTGGGCGGCGGTCAGTGCTGTTTCCGTAATTTAGGGGTTCCAGTGCGGAAGCCCGTGCGCAGGTAGATGTTTTTACCATAATCAGAATCGCACTACGATAACACACTTCACCTTACACCATATTAGATTGAATCAAAGCATGTGCAGCTATCGCCTCGGTGATGTATCACTATCACCTGTTGCAATGTTGCTGGATCTCAGTGATGTATCACCTATTGCAATATTGCTGGATTCTCTCGCGTACAGTCTTAGAATTACTGATGGACCAGATATGCAAATAGGCATCAATTGATATTGCTATTTATGTCTAACTGAAATGACTTTGACCCAGTTGGTGCTAACTGCATAAAATTAGTTCGGGATTCACATTTGTTTGGCCACTGTCACACATTTCAGCATACCCTCAAAGCATGCATAACTTTGGTCCACTCGGATTTCCCTGTCCGCTCATAATTCGCATTTTCAGGGCGTAGAAAACTCCAACATAGTCATCGTTTTGAGTCCGGCTTCTTGACAACAGTTCGTACATCTGCACTGTTGGCCGCAACTAAGGCTTGTTGCTAGCCGTAGTGACTGTTCATCAGTTATTTGAAATTGAAGGTAATTACGTCGGAAGGTCAAGACTGGCCGCCAGTGTTATGCGGGTCAGAAGACGGCTGGCCGCTCAGTGTTATGTGGGATAAGAGAGGACGGGCCATCCAGTGTTATGTGGGATAGGAGAGGACTGGCCCCCAGTGTCATGAGGGTCAGGGGACGGCTGACCGCTCAGTTTTATGTGGGATAGGAGAGGACTGGCCATCCAGTGTTATGTGGGAGAGGAGAGGACTGGCCATCCAGTGTTATGTGGGATAGGAGAGGACTGGCCGCTCAGTGTTATGTGGGATAGAAGAGGACTGGCCTTCCAGTGTTATGTGGGATAGGAGAGGGACTGGCCGCCCAGTGTCATGAGGGTCAGGGGGACGGCTGACCGCTCAGTGTTATGTGGAATAGGAGAGGACTGGCCGCCCAGTGTCATGAGGGTCAGAAGACGGCTGGCCATCCAGTGTTATGCGGGTCAGGAGAGGACTGGCCGACCAGTGTCATATGGGATAGGAGAGGACTGGCCCGCTCAGTGTTATGTGGGATAGGAGAGGACTGGCCATCCAGTGTTATGTGGGATGGGAGAGGACTGGCCACCCAGTGTTATATGGGATAGGAGAGGACTGGCCGCTCAGTGTTATGTGGGATAGGAGAGGACTGGCCACCCAGTGTTATGTGGAATAGGAGAGGACTGGCCACCCAGTGTTATATGGGATAGGAGAGGACTGGCCGCCCAGTGTTATGTGGGATAGAAGAGGACTGGCCACCCAGTGTTATGTGGGATAGGAGAGGACTGGCCACCCAGTATTATGTGGGATAGGAGAGGACTGGCCGCCCAGTGCCATGAGGGTCAGGATTACTGACATCATTCGGAAAACATTATTTGATAAACCGAAAAACCGATGTGGGCCGGTTTGGTTACATCAGTGGTGAAATAATCAGTCAGTTCTGTTGCAAGACAAATTTAAATAATTTGGTTGTAATGCATCGCAACTTCTTAAAATATTCTGAAGAAGTAAGCAATGATAGCTAACTGTTTAGTTGTATGCGGGTGATCTAATGACCTAAACACAGGCTTTATACACATGGGTTATGGTTCAAAATATCCATTAAAATATACCAGCACCGTGAGGCACATTCCACAGACTAAAATCAGAGTTCAACACATGTCATAATTGGATGACATTTTGTGCAGCCCTGGCCAATATACTTTAACATTTCAGAACCGACTTCTCAGTGCATTAAAACCATGACGAAATTGGATGAGCAGAAAATCGAGCATGTTAACATGCTATCCACTTTTTCAGAAATCAAGAAACCAGGCAGTTTTTGGACTCAAGAACGAGAGCGGTCATTTAAGAACACAATGCTCACAAGCGCAACAGTATCGGTTTAAGCAATGCTTTCAAATTGTCACATCTAACATCACTAGTCAGGACTGACCGTCCCGTGCCGTCGGGGCACGAGGGAACGTAGTTCAACACTCCACCTGCAGGTCTGTTACATTTTGACGTTGGAAAATTGTACCAGTGCGATCCTGCAAAAAGGGCAGTGGATGTTGTTTACGTGGCAAAGAACGTCTCGATGATAAGCTTGCTTAATTTGTGGTTTTAAACTTATTGAAATACACTGCCACGCTTTTATTCATCGTTTAAATCTTTGTGTGCGGGCTTGTTCCCAACCACACAGTCATGCTTTCTCTAGCCTTGTTTCCCCACCTCCGCTCTATCGACATGACC